AAATTCCAGAAGAAGTCTGGACAGGTCGGAAAGCAGCTTATAATCAATTGAAAGTGTTTGGATGCCGAGCTTTCGTGCATATCCCTAAAGATGAAAGGGCCAAACTTGATGCAAAGACTAAAGAGTGCATTTATCTTGGTTCGCCGAGATGTGAGTTCGGGTTCCGACTTTGGGATCCAATCAATAAGAAGATCGTGAGAAGTCGAGATGTGATCTTTCATGAGCATGAGAACATTCATGACATCTCGAAGCCCAAAGTCTGAGTTACTGTCAGACGAGAAGAACCCATCCCTCATGTCTGAGCTGAAGCAGGGGGAGAAAATCAAGAGAATGAAGAAATTGATGACCAGCAACAAGCTGAAGATGACCAAAACATTGAGGTCCGAGTTGATGATGAGATCCGGGATGAAATTGATGAACTGGGTTCTCAAGCTGAAGAACAGCCGAGATATCCAACTCGAGAAAGAAGACCCTCTACAAGATACCCATCCGATGAATACACCGTTGTTGCTGAAGACGGTGAGCCTCAGAGTTATGATGAGGCTGTGAAGAGCTCAGAGAAAGAAGAATGGGAAAAGGCAATGCAAGACGAGATGAAGTCTCTGCACGAGAATCAGACTTATGAGCTGACTGAGTTGCCAAAAGGAAGACGAGCTTTGAAAAATAAATGGGTCTACAAGATTAACAATGAAGAGAACGGGCAAAAGCCGAGATACAAAGCCCGAATTGTAGTTAAAGGCTGCAATCAGAAGAAAGGAGTAGATTTTGAGGAGATTTTTTCTCCTGTGGTGAAAATGACCTCGGTCCGAACAGTGTTAGCTATGGCAGCTTCGATGGACCTTGAGGTAGAACAAATGGACGTGAAGACGGCATTTCTTCACGGTGACTTAGAAGAAGAAATATATATGGAGCAACCAGAAGGGTTCCAAGCTCCAGACCAAGAAGACTTGGTATGTCGGTTTAAGAAGAGCCTCTATGGCTTGAAGCAAGCACCTCGGCAGTGGTACAAGAAGTTTGAATCATTCATGATTGATCATAAGTTTGAGAAGACTGAAGCCGACCACTGCGTATTTGTGAAGAGGTATGAGGCCGGAGATTTTCTGATATTGTTGTTATATGTTGACGACATGCTTATTGTAGGGAAAGACAAATCGAGGATAGCCGCCCTAAAAAAGGCGTTGAGCTCGTCCTTCGCAATGAAGGACCTCGGCCCTGCAAAGCAGATTCTCAGAATCAAGATTATCCGAGATAGACAGAAGAAGCTACTGTGGCTGAGTCAAGAAAAATATATTGAGAAGATTCTAAAGAGATTTAGCATGGACAAAGCCAAAACAGTGAGCACCCCCCTAGCCGGACACATAAAGCTGAACCAGAAGCAATGTCCGAGATCTGATGAAGACAAAGATGAGATGATGAAGGTCCCTTACCAATCCGCCGTCGGAAGCTTGATGTATGCAATGGTTTGCACTAGACCCGACTTGGCGTATGCTGTAGGAATGGTAAGCCGGTATTTGTCAAACCCCGGCAAAGAGCACTGGGAAGCAGTGAAGTGGATCTTCAAGTACCTACGAGGTACGACCGACTTATGTCTCCGTTTTGGAGAAGGCAAAGCCGAGTTGCAAGGCTACTCGGATTCTGATTTAAGGGGAGACGCCGACTCGAGGAAGTCGACTACATGATATTTGATGAGATTTGTCGGAGGAGTTGTCTCTTGGCAATCAAGACTTCAGAAATGTATTGCACTATCGACAACTAAGGCTGAGTACATTGCCGCTACTGAGGCAAGCAAAGAGATGCTGTGGATGAAGAAGTTCCTCATGGAACTTGGCCATGATCAAGACAAGTACGAGCTGGGTTGTGACAATCAAAGCGCAATCCTTCTTGCGAAGAATTCAACCTATCACTCCCGCACTAAGGATATTGATGTGAGGTATCACTGGATCCGGGATGTGGTGGAAGGTGGTGAGCTCGAACTCGTCAAGGTGCACACTGACCAAAATTGGTCCGACATGATGACAAAGCCGGTTCCAGCAAGAAAATTTGAAGACTGCTGTGAAGGAGCCAGGTTGATGCTGAAGCCGATGCATTGAAGTCGGAGGGGGAGATTTGTTGGGCTTCCTCCTTCAATGCTAAGCCCAAGCTCATTTAAGGGGTTTCCTAAAAACCCTAACCCTAATTTCCACCTCCTCTATAAATACTCATTAGTTGTGGGTGGAGGCTAGGTCAGATTTGAGAGAACAAATTTGAGAGAATTATTTGATTGTTTGAGCAAGGCTTTATGCTTTGCATTTGAGAGATCTCTAAAGAGAGTTTGAGTGAAACATCTCTAGGGTAGTTTGATTATCACCATTGTTGGAGAGGTTGAGTTAACCACCACATTGGTGTATTTGATTATTTGTAACCATTATTTTCATAGTGGATTTCTGATCTGGACTAGGTCCCGTGGGTTTTTACTTCTTCATTGAAGAAGGTTTTCCCACGTTAAATCTGGTTGTGTTCTTCTTCTCTCTCCTGTTTTCGTTTTGATTTTCCGCTGCGCCGCCTGACCTGGTGAAGTTCAGGCCGAGGTATTGCCGAGATCCGAGATCATGATCTTGTTGATTGACTTCCGCACAAAGGCCCCTGAGCCGATCTGAGGGAACCGAGTTTTCCCAACACAGCTTTCCTACAACATTATATTTCTATTTCCCTATATATATATATATATATATATATATATATATATATATATATATATATATATATAACAGAATATTATTGAATGGAAATCTTAGTAATTTCCATATATATTACACAAGAAGGGCCTATGTATACTATTGTAGTTCTGTTGTCAAGAAAATTAGTTACGTTATAATTTAGTTATTAACTGGCCACATATTCCCGACTTAGACCTTATCTATTTGTATTATATATAAAAAATATAGTCATGATTCAATAGAATGACTTATATTATGGAAGAAATACACTAACGTTTAGTCATTGGTGTTAGGGATTGCAATGCTGCGAGATTGTGAGCGTTAAAGCCTAAAGAAAATAGATATATGGGTTTTATTTTTCTCATGTTGCATGAGACAAATTGTCTCATGCAACACAAAAAAAATTGGATAGGACCTAGCCACTCACTTTTTTGTGTGTTGCATGAGACAATTTGTCTCATGCAATATGAGAAAAAGTAGGTGAGTCCTACTAAAAAAAGAGAAAGAAAATAAAAAAGTGTGTCCCACCCACTTTTCTTTGTGTTTCTTGAGACAATTTGTCTCATGCAACATGAGAAAAATAAAACCCTTTATATATATATATATATATGTATATATATATATATATATATAGTCTGCTTTCTCTTTGGATCATGCAGAAGATAATATGTCCAATCTTTGCATCACACAGCGCAGAAAGCTCATTTGTCTTCTTCATGAAACCAGTTCTTCGTTTAGAGAAGGTAACCAGCTCATTTGTGCAAGTATATATGTCATTTAATTTCGTGCATTATCTCACGTTTATCCTCGGCATATTCCATAGCACATATATTTTGACAAATAGTTACTTGAGATTTCTTACTGGTGTTTTTTTATTGGTGCATGCAGTGCATGCAAATGTAGTATTAGTCTTCTTAAACTAAGAACGACAACTGCACACAACTCACTCATGGGATTTCCTCGGGTTAGAGAGACATGGTGTAATTCCAGTGGCCTCATTATGGAATAAGACATTTGGTGAAGATATCATCATTGGAAATTTAGACATTGTTAAGTGTTAATAAAGGATGAAGATTTTCTTTATGCCTTTGCATGTGTTCTGTTTTAAGACTTGATACCTTTGATATTTTATGGTTTTACACCGATTTTTCTACTATGTAATACATGATAGTCTAATCGTGGTTTTTAGTCGACTAGAACACCCAATGAAAGAATATGGACAAAAGTATAAAATTTGAATTTGGCTAGTAGCCAGGTTGATTTTGTTCAACTTAAATTGACTTAATCAATTTGATTTCGGATTTTCATAAGAACCAAGTGTGGGTCCCACAATCCCTATCTCTACAACATAACCTAACAACTTTCCTACAACAGTATATTTCTATTTCCCTATATATATATATATATATATATATATATATATATATATATATCAAAATATTATTGAATGGAAATCTTAGTGATTTCCATATATATTACACAAGAGGGCCTGAGGATACTATTGTAGTTCTATTGTCATGAAAATTAGTTACGTTATAATTTAGTTATTAACTAGCCATATATTCTCGGCTGAGACCTTATCTATTTGTATTATATAAAAAAATAGTCATGATTCAATATAATGATCTAATCATGTTTATACACAATAGAAACAATTAGATCAAGTGCGGAAAAATTAAGATCATAAATACCTCCCTCTATTTCTTTTCTCTACTATTAGAATAGTTTTTGCAACTGGCACGAAATTCTTCTATTGAGTCTTCCAAACTCTTCTCTACAGTCCAGATGGTGTACAGCTATGTAGTAGAGTGAGCTCAGTGACTCATGAAGTTGAAGTTGCACCCTTTTTATAGACTCCTCCATCATAGAGTCTATTCAAGAGTGCTCTGAAGATGGGATCAGTTGATGGCAGATAAGAACCAAATTAATGGTTGATGATTATAGATGATTGCAGACCAAAACCAAAAGCAGGTGAACCACTCCTAATGAGTGATGAAGAAGTGGACAACATCAGTAGACCATAGTTCTCCATTATCAGTAGTGAACAATATCTGTGGACCACATAAGGTCACACCACTAACCACTAGTATTTTTAACCACTAGTTACTAACATTCTCCCACTTGGTCCACATATATCATCATATACTATAGTGAGAAACAAAATACATGAATCATGGTGATAATTCCTCTTATTTATTCGAGTATTATCTTCCATGTATTACAGTGTATTATATTTCTCAAGCCCATACATCAGGGACCTTCTACTCCTGAAATGTCATAACAGATAATACCAAGATTAGACGCCATCTCCATGACCCTGTCACTTAATGACTGAAGAAATTTAAACCATTAATCTGATTGACCAACAAAAGTAATGTAATTTTCTTAAAATTAAAAATGTAAAGGTTGTTAACCAACTAATAAATAGTGATGACAAGCAACTAATATTTGAACAAAAATATCCAGCACCATACTAATATATAGCTAACAAAAAAGGCTCTTCAAAATCTTCGAAGAACAATTGTTTGAATAAGATTCAATCCCTTTCATCAGCATGACCATCTCAATTGCTTCAGTTGTCAAAGATTCTATTCCACCAAAATAAAAGTCTTTATTTTAGTCAACAAACTTTCAATTCAACCAAGCCAGCTCGTATAGTACCTGAAGAGCACAATCTCGAAAAGCATCAAGAGATGCTTCCCTGAGGCAATGAGAATCCACCAATTCATTGAAGATTTGCTGGCTTATGTCTCATGGAAGATTTGAAAAGGAATTGTATTTATGAAAATCCTGTTCATGTGGATCAGTTACTGAATGAAAACCAAAAAAAATAACCAAAAAAAATTAAAAAAATGTACCTCACGTATCTTATTTATGCATAAGTCCACGAGAGAGGGACAGGTACCCCCACCAGGGCAATGATTTGCCTTAGAACTTAAACTTCTGGCTGCTAACCATTTTGTGCTCCCACTTCTTCAATACCTTCTCGATACTCCTCCTCTCCGTAAATCATCTTCCATTACTTGTTGATCTCTCTTCCTAGAACATATACCCCCCATCGCCTTCAATTCTTAAGTTTGTGAATAAACTGCAGCAACAAATAACTAAGATAAATAAATAGTTCAAGTTTGGGGGAAATTTGATTATTGCCAAATTAATCATATTGATCAAACAAATAGTTCAAGTTTGGGAGAGCTGAGGAAGCCATTGGTGGCAACGCTAAAGCTCTTCAAACCCTCAGAGAACTCATCATATTCCCTCTCCACTTCTTTCACCATGCACACAAGCTTGGCATCAAAGTTCATTTTTTTCTTCTTCTTTTTTTCCTTTCTCTTTGAACTTATTGATCATTTTAACCATGTGTGTCTTGTTCTTTCTAAATTGTGTAGTAAAATTAATGAAACCAAACTAATGAAGAAGTATCATTATTCTTATTTTTAAGCAGAGAAATAGAATAATTAATATTAATAGTGAACAGATTGTCAAATTTGAGTTAAATTGAAAGAACTCTGCACCACTGATGAAGCTTACTTATTAAACAACAAGTGCGACGAAGCCAACAAAAATCATACAAGTAAATGAGCAGTTAATTTACCTCTCTTAAAAGTTGTTAAAGCTCTTACTCGAGGTTTCAAGAAGGACAAAGCAGAAATACCCACACATTTCCATGGGGAACATAAGCCATCCCAGAAGAAAAGAGAAATAAAGCAAATTTTATCTTAAGAATTATGAAGTCATAAGCACAAACATGTTGCCGAAGGATTTAACACAAGCAATTTGCATCTTACGAATTATAATTAAAATAAACTAACCTGTGGAAATGGTTACGTATCTCTGTTTCTTTCTAACTCCATAATCTCCAACTATAGGCCCTGAAGCCATACATTCAAAACCCTAATTATTTTCCCCTCAATCTTCAACCTTCACCAAACTCCAAACCCTAGAAACCGAACCTAGGGTTTAACAGAACGGGAAACCAATAAAACACAGAGAGAAAAGAACAGCCTAGAACTAATAGTCCTTTCTCCTCTCTAGACCCAAGAAAATAGAAGAACCGGACAGGAATCGACAGAGAAAAAAAGAAGAAAACGAGCTTCAACGCTCGCGAAGCACACAGAGTAGGTTTCGGGCTTCGTTACCTTTTGTTTCGATTCAGATCTCTCACTTTCTCTCTCTGTAACTCTTGAGATTTAAAGATCCTTGAGCTTGATTTCGAGCGGATCTTGGGAAGGGGGATGGAAATGGCCGCGGTCGAGGAGGCAAGCGAGGAACATGTGGAGGGTCCTGCGGCGGTGGAGACGTGGATGAAAGGCTGGTGGTAGGGCTGCGAGTGGGGCTATCAGCGACGGCGCATTGGGTGGCTAAGAACTTGAATTTGTGGAGAGTAGGCATTGTCACGAGTTATTCTTCTAAATTGTGAATTTAGTAAAATGGAATAGGAATAGAAATAAAAATAGGAAAATGAACGGGGAATTTTTGTTTTGTTGTAGAGAGAGAAGGTGAGATCTAATTTCAATTCCAGAGAGAGAAAAAACATGATTGCCTTAAGAAAGGAACTTTATCGGTGAGTTACATTGCCACATTTACTGTGTAGTAAAATGGAAATTTCAAAGGTTTTGCGACATTAAATTTAAATGTGGTTAAAAAACGTTCCCAACCTCCGGTTTTTCTTTTTGTAGTAATTGCTGTAGATCTATGATACTTTTCGACGATCTACTCCATCCTGATAAAGTTTTCAACTTAAATATGTACAAGCTTTATATCTGTAATTAACTTCATATTTTATTGCACTATCAAAAATAAATAAAATTAAATTAAATTGTGTCAATCTGTATAATATTTTGGTTCTCCCAGGTTAAGAGGATGAATTAATTTCTCTAAATACCTAAGTTAAATACAACATAAAAAATTTACTACTAAAAAAAGCTGATTTACGTCGGGAAATGTCCATTGCAAATTCTGTCCCAAATAAAATTTGCGACAAAATTTTACAGAATTTCGTCGTAAATCAGCTTTTTTTTTTTAGTTTCCATTACAAGAAGTTAAGTTTCCAATACCTCTGAGTTTTGGCCTTACATATTGAATGTGTACTGTTGTAAGTTAATAACAGAACTGATGTGGAGAAGAAATATCTTAGATTTCATAGTATGTAGCCCGAGAAAAATCTCTTAGGAAAATATTCATTATCAAACATACATATCACATGTGGTTGAAAATGAAATCTATCCCCACCACATGCAGCCCTAAAAATTAAATTATAACTTGAACTGATCAGATCTGTAATCTCTATGTCAGAATATCAAATTATCCGAGTCCTAAGCACTCAAGTGGGTCAACCTGACGGTTGAGAATGATAGATATGGACCTAAAACTTCTCAGGTCAAGGCTTCTCATGTGCCGGTTCCTCACTCTTCATTTCCCTTTTCTTTAATTTTCTTTCTCATTATTTGACCATACTTACTTTATATATTATCAGAAGCCTATGTAAAGTCCGAAACTACCACATTGTGCTTCGCATGAATTGGAGGGAGCAAGGGTAGCTGTGTCATTTTGTGTTGGTAATAAGCGGAGCCCATGTGCCATGCAGAGGTGCGAGGATGAAAGCATTTGAGTGTATGAATCAGAATGTGGGGTCACGTCACCTAAACATGGAGTGGGTAGTGATGATGGTGTGTGAGTGAGGCAATGGCATTTCATTTCATGCAATGTTCAAAAAGCAAGGCTTGTAAAAAGTCATCTCAGCCAAAGTATGAATAGAACCAGTTGTTGCAAAACCAAACCATTATTTTGGTTGCATTGGTCTAAAGGGAAATTATATGAACTTTACCACAATAGGTAAATGGCTAGAATATAAAGGTTACTATAAAAGGATCTTCATGACTCATTTCGGAAACGAGAAAGAATCAGAATCCCTGTGCACTAACGGTCATTGGCATGTGGTTTTAATAATTAAGTAGCTTACTCATTGTCGACCAGAGACCGAACTGCATTTGAAAATGAAAATAGTCTTCATATATATGCAATATATCTCTGCGTCCCATTTTTATGCATATTTTTTTGCTGTGCTTTGCATCATATTCTTTCAATCGTCAGTATTTGCCATAAGCTGTTTACAACCGTTTGGTAAACAATTATGCAAAAAAAGACACACAAAGTATTTACAACTCATTTGAATTTATGAGAAACTATATATACAGTAATTATATTTGTCCAAATATTATTTTTTTTCCCTTTTATACTTTTACTTTAAATTAATTTTTTGCTTAACACTTGGAGACAACAAACATTTTGATCTAGTAGCTAATGTGTAAATTAACTATCCGACCATACGAATTGATACTGACAATTAATTTAACATTTTCAAATTTAAACTCTTAGCAGTCAAATTATAAAATAACTTCAACAGAATTATTGTAACACAATTCACTGAATTCAGTTGCATCATTAATATTATTAATTAAAGAATCATTGCAATGAAATTTTTTCCTGTAAAACAAAATGATAGAACCTATGGGCTATGGAATAGATTGATATAAATTGACTAAGCTAAATTTATTTCAAGGAATTACGCTCAAAGTTCTGAATCTTTCTTATCTAGTTTGATTTTTGGTCTGAGAAATAGAGTTGTCCTTCTATGAGATTATCTTGACAAGGTAAACCACATCACAAAAAATCTTACAAACTCAAACTTACCACTTAAATTATTCTCTGTGAGTAAAGAAGTAGAACAAAAATATAATTATTAATAACGTAACTATAGCTCCATATCTCAAATACTTTTATTATTATTATTATTTAGGTTGTGAATTTAGAGTTTAAACCCAAACAAGATAGAGAAAAGTTATATTTATAAATTTTTTATTTATAAACTCTTACAAACTTAATTATATGTGTTTATAAATAAAAAATTTATAAATATAATTTCCCCAACAAAAAATAAAAGAAAACTGGTACTGAAAAAAATAAAAAAATAAAAGAAAGGAAGAAAAAGAAAACACCTTTGTGAACCCAAGAGTTGAAATGTGATTGCCCAACAGCTCAAAAAGGCCCAATTCGTGTGGAAAGAAAAGAGACCGGAATTTATAGAGAGAGAGAGAGAGAGAGAGTGGCTGTGGTGTAACGTAACGGTGTTTTAGCGAAGACAGAAACAAAAGATGAAGCTCAAAGTGTATGCGGACCGGATGTCCCAGCCATCCCGTGCGGTTCTTATCTTTTGCAAGTATTTCACTTTCTTTTTACTTATTAAACTTTTATACTTATTTTATCTATCTATTTATTTTCTCTGGTTAATTTGAATATGGTTTGTGTATATGTGCTATAATCGAAATTGAAATGCAAAATCGATAGAGTAAATGGAATAGATTTTGAGGAGATCAAAGTGGAAATATCCAAACGACAGCAATCATCTCCCGAATTTCAAGGTTATTTATTAAGTAATTAGTATGATTGCTTTGAACATAACTTGTCAAACACCACACTCATCTTCCGCTTTATTGCTCTTCTTGGATTTTCCCTTCAGCGATTAATCCTTTCAAGAAACTCCCCGCTATTGTTGATGGAAGGTTCAAACTATTTGAGAGGTACTTCAATTGATGTATACTGTGAATCTTCATTATGATTGTCTTTATGTTTTGCTTTTTTGATTGGGTTATTGCTGGCTACTATTAATTATTAACTAATTTCATGATATGGAATTTTCTTCTCTCATATTAATTTATGTTTGTGTTCTTTTCTTCTCTGCTGCAGCCATGCAATTCTTATCTATCTTGTTTCTGCCTTTCCTGGAGTTGCAGACCATTGGTTAGTATTGTGCTTCTTTACAAAATTTAATTGCAATCTTATTTATGAATTCAAGATATGTTCATGAACAGAGGTTAGGGAGGGTATTGGGTTGTGCACGAGTTTCATTAGCTATATGTTGTGTTGTATCTTAACATAGCAACCTCAGGAAGTGGTGTTCTTTGGCTACTAATGTTAGTCACATAGTTTATATGTGTATCATGCAGTAAGACTCACCTTTGTTTAGTCGTAACTAAACCGATGAAACTTAAACAAGTGATCCTACTGTAAGATTTGCCTTTGTGTATGCTAGTCATTACATACATGATAGACATATTGATCCCTTATTTTGTGCAGACATACACTTCTGTTGTCTGTTCTTTAACATTTTTTGTACCATTCATTCCGTCAGGTACCCAGCTGATATTTCCAGAAGAGCTAAAATTCACTCTGTCTTAGATTGGCATCACATGAATTTACGTCGTGGGGCAGGTGCATCTTAGCTCAATGGAACCCTTTTGTTTATTTGGTTTCAGTAATCAAATTCATAAACTCACATTTATATTGGCCTCCTTCCAGTAATCTCAATGTAAGAAATCAGGGATTAATGTCATGTTTAGCTTGTCTACTGGATTGGATAGCTCTATTTTCTGGGGTTTTGATGGAATTTGTAGTTCCATTTGCAAATACTGAAGTTCAATCAAGTAAATGACGACTACAAGTTGCTATAAAATAATGGTTAAGCTTCAGAAAATATGTTCAAGCACTATTTACTCTGGACAATTTAATTAGTTGTAGATGACAGTATATAACTAGTTCAGCCTTTCTTTGTGACTTCCTGTCAGTGGCAAAGTTATTTGCTTTAGTTTGTATAATTCTGGTATTGCCATATATTTTGAGAATGATTTACATTCTTCTTGTGCATGTGCATTTTAATGTCATGCTTTGCATTAATTTCTGCCGAGTAATTTCCTTTGATCTCGGGTGAAGATGCTGTTTTTCTTCTGCAATCTGCATGCAAATTTTTTCCTGCTTCCTCACTTTTGATGACCTAGTCTTCTTGTTTTTGTTCTAGCTACATTTGTTCTAAATACTGTACTAGCTCCGATATTGGGTCTACCACTAAACCAACAAGCAGCTGCTGAAGCTGAAAACATTTTGATATCATCTCTTTCAAAAATAGAGAACATATGGCTTAAGGGGAATGGTCGGTACTTGCTTGGTGGCCTGCAACCATCCATAGCCGATCTCAGTCTGGTTTGCGAAATTATGCAATTAGAGGTAAATGGGGGAGTTCCTATAACATAAAAATTTCATTGTGTCATGACATGGGGAATGGTTTTACTTTTTTGATCAAGATTTTTGCTTGTGAGTTCAAATAAAATGAATTGTAGACAGTTTTTTGGTTAGCATAGCGTGACTTGTTATCTATTCGAATTTGGTTTGGCTAAGGGAAGGAAATATTTCTTACAATTAATGTTGGCCTACTTAAAAGCTATTTACCTAAAAATGTGACATGCAGGACAGAATGTTGATCCTCTCCTCAAGGCGAAACGTGGTAGTGACTTATTTTTTTTTTGGATGCAGCTTTTAGATGAGAAGGATCGTGATCGTATTCTTGGTCCCCACAAGAAAGTTCAGCAGTGGATTGAGAGTACAAGAAATGCTACGAGGCCTCATTTTGATGAAGTTCATAATGTCCTCTATAAGTTGAAAATGAAGCTTAGAGATGCTGGGATGGATTCTAGGATTAAAACCGGACTAACTTCAAAGATGTGACCGAACAACCATGCCAGTAACATACTTGTGACAACTTTATATGATTAATTAGTTGTTGTTGGCTGTAATTTTTAAGCTTGAAACTTCGAAGACGAAGTTTATGACTGTATTTAGGCCCCTTAATAAGACTGCTAAGCTGGGGCAGATAATAATTGTGATTGCCATTTGAAGATTCAATTGTGTAATGTGTAGTGCAGATTTGACACCATACATGATGGTGTGTCTTTCCTTTAAATTTTCCATGCAAACTATTTTCGAGGAGCTGGATAATTGCTGATGATTGATGAATAATCTCAATTAAAGTGTTTCAATTCTTCCTAAATGTTATAATAAATAGGAACGTCACTTAAAATGGAAATTATGTTTTATCATTATTAAAAGAGATAGTAGTTGCGTTTAAGATAAGATGTTTATTGTTAGCTCTTTTTTAATCTTAAAATTGAATATAAAATATTTTTAACTTGCTGTTTGGTACTTTTCTACATCAGGAAAAAAAGAAAAGAAAAAAGAACCGTTTATCTTTGTAATGGTTTTAGAATATTATCTGACAAAATTTATTAATCCAAGCATATAAATTTTTATTTTATTTTTGATTATTATAACTTATTTATGGTAAGACCCACGAACTAGTAACACGCACTAGCTGTTGAGTTTCAGTGGTTAAAGTCAAAGCGGCGTTGTGGTGTGCTTCTCAATCTCAAAATTCAACAGAGATTGAAAGGATGACAAGGAAGCTAAAGGTTTATGTAGATCGTATGTCCCAGCCATCTCGAGCAGTTCTTATCTTTTGCAGGTAATTAATTCTTCACATTAGATACACAAATGAATCCATGATCCGTTTATATTATATTATGATGAATTTAAATCATCATGTTTTGTGTTACTACTTGGAATCCAAGGTTTAACGGAATCGACTTCGAGGAGATTAAAGTAGACATTTCCAAACGTCAGCAACTGTCTCCTGAATTCAGAGGTATCTATCTATCTATCTAGAGTGAAAAACAAACATATGCACCCCGTTATAAGATTATGATAATGATAATATTTTGTCATGGAACTCAGTATAGCAAATTAATAATAGGTATCCATTTAAGTTCAATTGAAGTAGTAGTATGAAGTATGAATGGTCCAAAAAATGGAGCGCATATATTGTTTGCAGAGATCTGGTGCATTAGTAGTGTGATTGGTGTTCTATTCTATTGTTGACCTAAAATTTTTCACCCCCTTGTAATTTGATTTCAGAAGTAAACCCTCTGCAGAAAGTTCCAGCTATTGTTCATGGAAGCTTCAATCTCTCCGAGAGGTAATTATTGATAAGGGCCGTGTCTTTTAACCCACCTTTATGATAGTAATAATTATGTAGTGCTCCATTGTACTTGTCAGTTGTCACTGCATAAGAAAGTAAAATTCCTATGCCAATGTTGTTGACTTTTATGGGGATGGCGGTATGAATAAACTATCAAAGATTTGTTGGATCCTGTAACTTATCTTCAACCTCTTTGTCCTAGTTATGTGTTGATAATATTATTTTTGTCATGTGCATCTAAATCTTGGTAATTGCTGGTGGACTAGACTTTCATATTTATTTTGAGGCAATTTACATATATGGGTTCTTGATCCACTATTTAGAAGTTTTGTGGCTCCATCGAAAGTGGATTCTTTCCAGATGTTTATCAGATGTACTAAGATTCAATAGTTGCATATGAAATCAATTTCATTTATCTTAAAAATAAATCTCATATTCTAGTGATTTGATGATGCAGAGTGGTCTCAGAAATGGTCAATGTGAATGCCCTTTGCTGAGAAAATATAACTTATTGGTTTAATTAAACTTTGTGCAATCTTCTGGGGTATGTGCATCATGGCTTAGGAAAGTGAATGAACCTGATTGTGCGATCAAATTTCCAGTCTGCAATATTACATGTGTTTTTTTATAAGAAAAAGCCCCCCAAACTCCCTTTTTCTGGACTCATTTCACTTCTATAAAGTTTATTTTGTGGAATTCATTTTATTAGTATATGGTTGATTATTGAATGTATCTTTCTTTTCAATGCCTATGTAAGTGGTGTATTATGTTTCTATGATGTATTTGTTTCCAAATTACATCTTTTCTGTTGCCTATACTTTATAAATCCTGTTATGTGTAAATTCTAAACTACCCTGTCAGGAGTATGTTTACTTTTGGTTTTGTTGTATGTTCTTAATTAATCTAGTTTTTTTTTTACAGCCATGCAATCCTTGTCTATCTTGCTTCTGCTTTTCCTGGCATTGCCGACCACTGGTTAGTAGAACCACTTTTGCTCCTGGAATCCTGAACTACTTGATTGTTTTAAAGAAATGCTTCAAGGTCTTTTAGATATCAGAGCTGGATTGTTTCATTACGCAGTAGTTGAATATGATTAAAGGAATGGAATTAACCGTGACAGTGTTTCTTGTCCATTTCTAAAGCTCTTTTTCCTCACTTTTGGATGTTCATTTGAAAGTACAGATTACGATGAATCAGAATAGAATAAATAACCTCAGAAATATATTGATTCTAAATCCAATTCTGTGCTGCCTTGGAGATAAATTTTCCACAATATAAATTGAATCCTAGTTGCCATGCAGTTTGGATATATGTGTAAAAATTTGCATCCAAGATTTATAATTATTAGTATAGTTATAACAGCTTTCCCTCTTGATGTATCAGGTATCCAACTGATCTTTTCAGGAGATCCAAAATTAACTCAGTAATGGATTGGCATCACTCTAATTTACGACATGGAGCAAGTAATGTGATTTGCTATTATCAGTTGAGTTTGTTCTATAGAAACTTGTGTGATAGTTATTCATTGTAGCATACGGCTGCAGACTTCTAACAGAAGGAAATTCTATCATATGGCTATTATCTTCTGCATACTTGCTATGAGTATTTAAGTTTGTTATATGGATACTTGAGTGACAAGAGCAAGCTTTGGAGTAGCAGTAAGATTGCTCCTTGTGATGAGAGAGTCACGGGAGAAACTATTTTCATACCATTTAGCGTGAAAAGCAACATCTGATAAAATTATACCATATCTGCAAGCCAAATATAGAATGACCGTACTCTTCGAAACTTTGATTAACTGGCAGAGGCCCATCTTCTTTTGCAGTGGGCTATGTAGTAAATACTGTACTAGGGCCTGCACTTGGCCTTCCATTGAATCATAAAGCAGCTGCTGAAGCAGAGAAAGTTTTGTTATCTTCTTTATCAAAACTGGAAAATATTTGGCTAAATGGAGATGCACGCTTCCTGCTTGGTGGCTCTCAACCGTCTATAGCAGATCTCAGCCTGGTTTGTGAACTCATGCAACTTGAGGTAACTAAATGTACCTTAGTAATTGTTGATGTTATTGATGCTGCATCTGACTTGAAATCTCCAGTTGAATCAGAATGTTGGTTGGTAATATGATTGCTTTTTACATAAATTTATAAAATGTCTGAACTTTGAATGAACTTAGATTTTGGATGAGAAGGATCGCAATCGTATTTTATCCCCATACAAGAAAGTTCTCCGTTGGATTGAGGATACAAGAACTGCAACAAATCCTCACTTTGAAGAAATGCATAATATCCTTTATAGAGCTAAAAAGAAATTCCAACAGCAGCGTTCAAGGGTGGCTGAAACTGGGACTGAGCCTAGCAACAAGATGGGGGGCCATTCAAAGATGTGAAAACCATGCCTTCATCTTTGTTGCAAGACTGGCATAATCATAGCCTTTTTTCTCTACAGGCTTTGAGCCTTGGGTTTTGGCTGTGCTTTGTTAGCCTGAATAGTTGTACGTCTTCCTATAAAAGCACGAGTATAGACCACCAGATTTGAAATGCTGAGTAATTCACACTGTCATGAGAAGAAGATTTTGCCAGTGAATAAGATTGAGAAATCAGATAAGAAATGTTGTTGTACATGTTGTTCTATCTTCACTCTTAACCAAATGGCTCAATAACTAAATTTTGTAATTTGTGTTAGTACTTTGTACTTGGTGGTCTATTATGCATATTTAAAATTTTTAGTATGGGTTTAACGTATATTTTGTAACAAATAAAATTCTCTCTTGCAACCCCAAAACGTAAAGCTGGGAAAAAAATGCAGGATATTCTGTCAATATTATTAGTTATAGGAAAAAAGTGTGCTAGTAGAAGCAATATTTACAACTTCATGGTCGTCTGACAGTAGACAAATGTCCAAACTTATTGATAGGATAGGAAGAAACAACTGAAATAGTCAAGACCTACTAGTAACACATTACAGCTAAAACAAGACCCTGAATTCTCCTGCACCATTAATTTTCATATCATTCAATGCTTATGCCCCGTATCTCAAGGTTGTCCAGCTTCTTGGGTCTCCTGTAATATTTCAACAGTAGAGAACAGCAGACAACGCTGACAGAAGAGGCAGCCATAGCAGCCCCAGCAACCCATGGTGGCAACCTAAATCGTGTAGAAGGGAAAAGAGCTCCAGCAGCTATTGGAATGCCAAGCAGATTATAGCCCAAAGCCCACACGTAATTCAAGCGGATACGGGAAAATGTTTTTCTGGAAAGGTCAATTGCAGTTATGACATCCTCCAAGTTACTCTTCATCAGGACAATATCAGCAGCCTCAATAGCAATGTCTGTACCAGCACCAATTGCCATTCCTACATCTGCTGCCACAAGTGCTGGTGAATCATTGATACCATCCCCCACCATAGCAACCCTGTACCTAGAAGCCTGAAAAAGAAAAAAGAAAAAAGAGGAATTCAATATGTTAACAACAGCTAGTATATTCCTCTGAAGCAGTAAACTTTTAGTAAGTGAGACTAAAGCTCAGTTAGGATGAAATTGAAGTTCATGGTAATAAGTACCTGCAAGTCTTTCACTTTTTCTGCCTTGTACTCCGGTTTGGCTTCAGCAATAACAGTTTCAATTCCAACTTCCCTTGCTATAGAATTAGCAGTACCCCAGTTGTCCCCAGTCACCATGATGCTCCTTATTTTCATTGACTTGAGAATGGAAATGACTTCTTGAGCACCCGGTTTCAGTGGATCAGATACTGCTAAAACCCCAACTACTTCCCCATTTATAGATACTAAAATTCCAGTTTGAGCCATACCCTCGGCTTCTGAAAGAATATCTTCAGCATCAACAGGAAGTGCAACATTGTGGTCGGCCATCAAACTCTTGTTACCAACAATTATTTCCTTGTTACGAACAGTGGCCTTCACTCCATGTCCAGTAATGGAGACAAAATCCCGTGCTTCTGGCCAAGTAGGGTTCTCTTCATCTCTGAGTTTTTTTGCATACTCAACGATGGCCTTAGCTAGTGGATGCTCACTATTCACCTGACATAAACAAGTAACGTGAAGTTACTGACAATTGTTCATGAATAGGGCAATAAGCGTGTGAAACTCTTTATGTTATGTAATCAATTATTTGTAAATGTAACGAATCAAAGAACTCGAAAACAGATAGATGATAAATAGCCTTGCTACAAAGTTTTCTCCGAAAGATATATCGTAGTTATAAAGAAGTCCCTGAAAACAAGTCCTGTCTTCTATAACTGATATTGACTACTGAGGCCAAGCCTTTTATGGGAGTGTGAGATATATGAAGCCTTATCCCATGAGCTCGCTCTCTAGGAAATAATGATTATAATAATAAAATTAATGCCTACCTCAACTGCAGCCACAAGTTCATAGAATTCCCGGAGTACCATATTTGTTAATAATTTTGTATTAACTACCACAGGCTTCCCAATAGTGAGAGTACCTGTCTTGTCAAAAACAATGCAGTTCACCTACAAGACAAACCATAATCAGATTCAAATTTGTATTTATACATAAAAAAAATATATCTTTATAAATTTTTGCAAATTACAATATGTATTTTTGAAAATACATAATGTAACCTAATATACTTTCGAAAGTACATAGTGTAGTTTGTAAGAATTTATAAACAAAAAATTTGTGAATATAATACTCCCATTTATATATATATATATATATATATATATATATAATTTTTCTTTCATAAGCACAAGGTCCCACCCCTTGTCAGTATGTCTAAAATAAGTTTGTGCCAATCCAAAAAGAAGAAGAAGAAGTTAACAATAATGCCACTGAATACGACGAAAGCTTTAAAGGAGAGATCTTGGGGTGTAAGACTGTAGGGAGCTAGTCCATGTCACTTTCACCAACATTAACAAAGTAGATCCAGAATTTTAAGGAACTATATATAGTCCAATGTCAAAATGCTGACCTTATGTGCATTTTCTAATGCTTGTCCTCCTTTGATCAGTACCCCCTGAGATGCACCTACTCCAGTGCCAACCATAACAGCAGTTGGTGTTGCTAAACCTAAAGCACATGGACAGGCTATGACCATGACAGAAATCCCAAACTGCAAAGCAAGCTGAAAGCTGTCCATGGAAGATGGTATCCAAGACTTTGGGTAAGCATGAAATCTTCCAGCTAAAAACCAGGCAAGCCAAGTTGAAAATGAGATTAAAATAACCTGCAATCAAGTGAGTGTTACATAAACATAAGGATTTGACTGAAAAAGAAAACAAAATTATCTAATTCATATCATGTATAACTAACTACCAGAGGCACAAAGTATTTGGAAATGCGGTCAGCAAACTTCTGCACGGGAGCCTTGGCCATCTGTGCTGACTCAACAAGTCTAACAATCAGGGAAAGAGCACTCTCTGATCCAACCCAGGTTGCCTTAATATGTAACACCCCGTTCTCATTCACAGTTCCTCCAATAACAGTGTCACCTTTCCTCTTTGCCACAGGACGTGCCTCACCTGTTATCATGCTCTCATTCACATGGCTTTGACCCCATATAACAAATCCATCTGAAGCTACTTTTGCCCCAGGAATAATTTTAATCACATCATTCTTTTGAATCAATCTGCTGTCAATTTCTTGTTCATTAATAACGTTTCCTTCATTGTCCAGGGTCAACAGGATAGCTGTGTCAGGGGTCAAGTTCATGAGCTTGGCAATTGCATCGGATGTCTTCCCCTTGGCTAAAACTTCAAGATACTTTCCCAATAGAATAAACGAAATAAGCATAGCACTAGTCTCAAAGAAATCATTACCCTTGAAATCCTGAGAGGTAGCAGCTCTCAGGACAGAATATACTGAATAGAAATATGCAGCATTTGTTCCCAAGGCAATCAAAACATCCATGTTAGGAGAGCCAAGGCGTAATGCTTTGTAGGCACCAGAGTAAAATCTCTTGCCAATAATGAACTGCACTGGTGTGGCAAGCACCCATCTTGCAATCATCCCCGCTGTAAGCATATTAACAACTTTGGCATCCAGTCCATGCTTAATTCCGGGTATATACATAAGCACCATAGAGGTTAGAAACACAGGAACAGTAAACACCAAACTCCATAAGAAGGATCTATAGTATTGCTTAATTTCCTCCCTCCTATGTGTGTTTCTTCCTCCTCCTTCTTCAGGAAATATTTTTGCCCTGAAACGCCTAGACGACCCAGTTTCCTCAATGACATTAATGAAATTCCTGGGTCCTGTCAAATTTGGTTTATAGGAAAGGGATATTTTGTTCAACTCAGGATGGACTTCAACACCTTGAACCCCTGGAAGTGCCTGAAGAGAATCTTCAATCATTCTCATGGAACGACCAGTCCTTGCACCTTCAACCTGAAGGTCTATCTTGCTCATGTCTTCACCTGTGCTGATAAGTGTGGCTTCAAAACCAGTGTCTTCAACAGCTTCCAAGATTTGATTGTAGCCAACAACATTTGGACTGTAGTGAACCTCAGCTTCCTCAGTTGCCAAAGCCACTTGTGCTTTCAACACACCTTGAATTGCTTGCAGAGCAGATTCAACAGTGGAGGAACACGAGGTGCAAGTCATTCCTTGGATTCGTATGCGACATACCTGAAAAGTTGGATCATTTGTCTCACCTCTTAGTAACGTGGCTTCAAACCCAGCATCTTCAATGGCTTCGCGAATGGTCTCCTCCTAAGAATATAATCAACAACAGAGAAAGCCAGATACAATTACAACAACATAAGTAGTGTACGTACAAATGAAACAAAAAGTGAAACAAATGCATGTAATGATAACTAACACATATAGAGATAGCATATGTATGTAGTAATAATTGTTATATATATGGATACTTACGTTAACGAAAGATGGGTAGAAGAGAACGAGGGCACGGTTGTTGAGAACATCAACGAGGGCTTCACGAATGCCAGGAAGGCGTTTGAGGGCTTTCTCAACGGAGGCAGCGCATGCCGAACAAGTCATTCCCATGACAGAGAAAAGGGCCTTATTGGGCTCTGAACCCTCCATGTCCATGGTGGCTCCTTCTTCAACCTTCATGCCCTTTGGGTATCTGGGCATCGATGGGTAGTGAGGTCGCGGCCCTGACCCTGAACCTTCATTGCGTAAGCAAGCTAAAGCTAAAAACTTGGTCGCCATTGATGGCACCCACTCCAAGCAACAAGCACAACTCACAACTCACTTAAGGCACTCTACCTCCGTTCTTTATATATACTTTGATTCTTCATTAAATGTTCATTTTAGTTTTAATATAAGCGTTTTCGTTTTATCCTTTAACATAACACAACAAATTTTCTTACACTCACAACATTTTGTGGGGCCCACACTTTTTAAAACAAAAAAATAAATAAAAAATTAAGGCACGCAAAACGAATCTCTATAACATTATACAATCAATTTTCCTACAAGATAACTCTTATAAAACCCTTAATATAATCACTTTATTGATTATTGATTTGATGTGGATTGAAATTAATTATTTGAAGGAGTCTTTATGTCACTTCAACGTCATTAACTCATTATTATCTGTCATGTTTAATTAACTTTCGTATAAAAACTAAATTATTGGTGACACGCAATATTCTGTATTTCTGTTGCAACAATTTTACAAGTTGATGAGGTGATTTAGTGTGGGCCTGGACTTTAGTCCTTGACCAAAAGTGGAAAAAAAAGTGGAGTGAGATGGCATTTGAATAAAAGAGAGGGATTGAAATGTAATTTTCTTTGCCCTTTTTTAGAAAGGGTGCACCCAAAGAAGTGTGCGCCGGCCCTATATTAAAAAAATCCCTGATATAGGGATCGAGATGCCTTTACAATGACCTTTTGACTTTAGTAATATTAAAAAGGGAGATTTTTTTTTTTCTTCGTTTAAAAATGGAAAAAGTTTAAAATTCTAGTACGATTTATTCTTTTATCACTTACTATTTTATATTTTCTTTTATTATCACTTACTTTTCTTATGATTTTTTTTGTTTTATCTAAGTTCATATTTAACAGCAATAAATTTTGACTAACTTGCCAATTTTATCATCGTTTTTGCCTACATCAAAAGCATTAATCTATTATGGAAATCTATGATATAAGCATATCTCTTCTTTAATGGTACATCCTACTTTTTTTTTTTTGGAAATAATAGGAAATTAAAACAAAAACACAATAAAAAGAAACTAGGCACAAAGCCTAGACCAGTGAACACCTATAGTGTCACCATACAGACTATCAATACAACCTGACGGTGGACAATCAAATTCCTGAATTACCCAAGAGAAACCATAAGAGTAAGAGGCTAGAAAGTCCGCTACTCTATTTCCTTCACGGTGAATGTGAGACATATAAATCTGCCAATCTCGCTGCATCAAATTTCGAATACGATTCACCAAATTAGCCGCAGGGTAATCATGGTGGCACCCATTTGTAATGAGCTGTTGAGCTGAAAGAGAATCTCCTTCGAGCCAAACTTGCCTAAAACCTCTATCCCAAGCTAGCTCCAAACCAACCAAGCAAGCCCATAACTCAGCATGCAAAACTGTACCTGAGCCTAAATTTTTACAGAATCCGACGATCCAAGTTCCTGAGGCATCGCGAAAAACTCCTCCACACCCAGTCCTAGTACCATTAGCATCACATGCACCATCAACATTAAGCTTAACCCAATCCACAGGAGGACAACACCAAGCAACCAATCTCTCTATTCGATTCCTTGGTTGATTGCCCGCTCCAAAAATAGGGTTAGCTGCAAGAGCGACACTATCTCTGAAACCAATTGCTGAACGGATAAGTGAATAAGCATTCTGGCGATCACCTTCAAAAACCCAAGAATTCCTACATTTCCAAATTTTCCAGGCTAAGATTCCAAATAAAAGAGGCCAGTCCGACCCCATCCCCCAATCCTTTGAGCTGTCTAAATTAGAAATGATCCAATTGTGCAGGTTGAGGTTGAAAAATTCACGTTGATTATTTGTACATCCTACTTGTTATTGTTTGTTTTCCTCAACAAATTAATTATCTGAGGAAGGTAGTCAAAATATTTGTACACACAAAGCAAAATGAGAGTGGACATCTACTAAGCAATAATATTTTTTGAAGTAAAACTCATCTGATCTAATCCTTTTGTTAATGAGTTAATGGATCTTGGATTTAGAAATTTTTGGGCTATGATTCGGGAAAGGACCAAGTAGGTAAAGGGGAATTAATATATTGGATCGGTTTAGATTGGGTCGGTTTTCATCAACGCATCCGAAAACCGATCCAATCCAATTAAAATTTGCGATTTTTTTTCAGTTTTCGATTTTCGATTTTTCGATTCGGTCTCCACGTTTTTCGGTTGATGAAGTGGACATCTACTAAGCAATAATATAATTGCTTAATTCTACACATTCATGATATAAAACAAGGGTTCTATTTCTCTCATGTTGTTGGAGATAAATATCTCCTACCATAGACACATGTTGTGGCGGGTCCCACCATCCATTAAGAAAGAAAAAAAGAAAAAAATGATGACACAACTTTTTATATAAGAGAAACATGAGAAAGTTATCTCATGTAAAATATGACAATGATTTCCCATAAAACAATGAGCCATAATCTTTTTCTAAAGATTTTTTTCAATGTCGGAACAAAAATTAACTTCGCAACACTGGTGGATTTTATAACATTGAGGAATTTGATTATAAACGAATCAACTTCCTTCCAAACTAATGGAGGGACTAATTATATGATATGGATTAGTGGACTCTTATACACATCTTGTAGAATGTGACACGGGATAAGTACATATTAACTTTTATACAAGTCCTATATGGGGTGATGTTAACCTGAACGCGCACATATTTCATACATATTTCACCACATTATTTTGATAAATTGTTTGGCTCTTGAATTTATGAAAAAATATATTTCCCTTTTAACATTGAATAAGTCAAAAAGCCAAAGACCTGTTTGCATGTTTTTGAAAGAAATTTTTTTTATACATCATTTGCTTTAATTTTTTTTTATTAATTTTTAAAAATCACTTTTATGTAAAAAATAACATTTTAACTTTTTTTAAAAATATTTACCTAATTTTTTTAAAGCTTCATCCAAATACTCAAGTAAAATTTTACAAAACAAAAAATACTCAAGTATCATGTCATTTCATCTAACTGTACTGATTATTATTATCTTTATGTTGTCTAATAATATTTTGATAAGAACTAATAATTGAGTAAATACAAAGTTAAAATTTATTTAAGGAAAAAATTATTTCAAATCAAGAGATAAATGTTTTTTTAACTTTGTTGTAAGTTTTTCATTAAAAAAATCGTAATTGAAGACAGGAGAAACAGAAAATATCTAATTACAATAATGATGATCATGGTGGGGAGAGGCGTTATATAAAAAAAGATAAATGTTTTTTTCAAGTTACATAAAATTTTTTATCTCATGTCACAAACATATTGCAATCCGAGTCAGCATTTTTTTTCTTTTTTTCTTTTCTTTTAACTGTGGGACCCACCTAATTATGTCTCTACATGAGATAATACTATCTCATGTAGCATGACAAAAGCATTGCCCATAAAAAAAACATAGTCATCTCATGAAATTATTTTTAAATAAAATTACAACATTGCACTTTCCTAGAACAAAAAATTGATATATAACTATCTTCCAATTTGAAAGTAACGTGGGAGTTGAATATTATCTATCTTAATGTTATCTTTAAGGTAAAAATGTTTCTTCAGTAATGCAGATAAATTATCTGCATTTATTTTCAAAACGACGTCGTTTTGGTATTGAAATCTTAAAAAATTATAAATATAAAGATTATTATAACCTTGAAATAAATTAAAATTACAAAAACACTATGATTTCCGCCCAAAACGACGTCGTATTGACTTACTGCAGATAACTTATATGCAGTGACTGAAAAAAAAAAATCAAACTCTATCTTTAAATATAAAATATTACATGTAGTTTGTATTCCATTGCGATTTTGTCCTGATCGCATGTCTGGGGCCTAAAACAATACATTAATTAGGAGTAGAACTAATAATAAGCGCTAGATGTTAGCGATGGTATTTAGTTCCGCGCTAGATGATAGATTAATTTCGGTAAAAGCATCCTTTTGACTATTGGGTAAAAGAATTATCTAGTTAAAGTTAATTGAATAATTTTTTTTCAAACTAATGCAATCAAACACGTCACATATACTGATAAGTAGGAGTGTTAATAAGTTGGGCTGGGCTGACTTTGGTATTGAAAGACTAAGAGCCTGTTTGGATCCTCTTATTTTTAAGCTAGAAGTTGCTTATAAGCTAAAGCTAAAAAAAAGAGCTTAAAAAAATAAGCTAAAAGCTGTTTGGAAATTACATAAAAGTTTTAGCTTAAAAATTACTTAAAAGTACATATTTCAAGAAAATTATCTCTTTCTATCTTTATCACTCTCCATTTTAAAAAAAAGCACACAATTCAAGAAAAACAAATAAGAGCTTAAAAAAAAGCTCCTAGGAGGAGCTTTTAGTTTTCAGCATTTTTCTTTATTATAAAAAAAGAGCTTTTCGTTATAAGAGCTTTTCTCAAAACCTGTTTGGCCTAGCTTATGCTTATAAGTAGCTTGTATCTTAAAAAAAAGAGGATCCAAACAAGCACTAAGTCTATATTTAAATGTATCAAACTGACCAAGCTTTAACTTGTTATGAATATAATTATTTATCTGTGGCCTGACTTAATTATAAAAAAAATAAAAATAAGACTTATCTTGTTAAAAAAATAATAATAAAAATTTATTCAAATAAAATATATGATCAACAGCACTAATAATTTTATAAAAATTTATAAAAATTCAGAAAATCTCTTTCTCAAACATACACGGCTAATAATTAGAAGAGTGAGGATATTCTAACTACCAAAAAATCTCACTACTAACTTACTACCCATCATATCACCATTGGATCAAAGAGAGATAATATTAAAAAGTTTTTTAAGAGAGAGAAAATATTAATCGAATGGTGATTAAATAGGTAGTAAGTTGATAGTAAAAAATTTGATAGTGAGAATATCCATCCTCTAATTAGAGTTCACCAACCATTCAAAAGGGCCTTGATGTCCCCAATGCACAAAAGTACGCACAAATGTTTTTCTTTTACTTCACAATTTTTGCAAATTCAAGATTCAATCTATTTTCTTTATTAAAGTCAAATTATTATTATTTTTAAAAAAAAACACAAATAACGAATGATATATAAGATCCACAAAAAAGAATTCAAAGAAGAGTAAAATACTACTCCTGTATCCCTTAATCAAAGAATTCAAAAAAGAATTCAAACGAATGATATAAAAGTCTTAGAAAGATGCTTTAACCGATTAATTTCAGGAAAAGAACGGACAAAAGGAAGAAATAGCAGAATAATTAGCTATAAATAATCAGACAAGTCCTATGTATTATGGATTGAAACAGGCCTCTTTAATGCTAACTGGTATATGATGTGCATTACTAAGACATACGCCGATACACAAACACTTGAAACACAACAGAATTCATGCTTCAATAGAAAATAATACGACTTTTTTTTAACATTTAGAAAACACCCGGCAGCATGTTACTCCAGAAGGGATAAGTTAATCCACCTTTAGTTAATTCCGAAGTCATGGCTCACATAGATTAATTGACTTGGGCTATTTAATGCTTATAAAAAAAAAGATAAACATAAGCTTGTCACAGCATCATTGGAAGATTCGTATCATTTGCTCTCCATTTGTTTGTTTAATAATGACTCTACCATTACTAAATATTTAAATATTCATTTTAAGGTTTCTACTATAAGTAATGACCTCATCTTATAGGAGCTTATGTAATGGCTTACCTTTCTGTGAATGTCTTGCAGGTTGACAACAACATTAGCTAAGGAATAAATCTATCTAGCTAGACCATTCATGATTGGGTAAGGAGGGCCCAATTGTTTGGTGTTCCATTAGGGGTGTTTGTTTCACGGATTCTGTCCAGAAAGATAGGCAAATGAAAGCAAGACATCTACATACACCACGTTTGGTTGGAGTTTCTGTGACACTTTCCCACCTAAATGAGTTGCCTACATAACCCAAAAGCATAGGCATCAGCTTCCATTTAGCCGGCGAAGGATGTCCCTTGGCGATGTGGTATTATTGAAAACCTATCCAAATTGGTCACCGTGCATCCTTTACAAAAGATCAGCTACTTTCGTGAAAGCTGATGCAATGATGTGAAAGACCAGCTACCCTTGGCCATGATGTGAAAGTTCAGTCTCCCTCTCTTTCTCTAATTTTGTTCAGAAGGTTATTTTCGTAACTATGCAATGATTTTTCCATCTATATTTTACCATTAGCCAAACGTAGACTTTACAAAAGTTACCTAATTTCTCCAGTAAAATATTTTTCAACCAAACAACTATTTTTACATTTTCCTACCAAACTCACTTTCCACCCATTTCCCCACTAATCACATTTGCCTATGATTCATAAAAATTTCTTCCCAACCAAACGCCCACTTAAGTTCACATTCCAATGATCGCAAACGAAAAACAAATTCAAAGTCCATATGGATTGTATTTTGATTTTTTGTTCTTAAAAATATTTTGTAAAAAAGTTAACGCAATAAATATTTTTTATATTTAAAAAAAAAATTAAAAGTTAAAATACAAAACAAAAATAATTCAGATATGTTCTTTAAATTTGATTCTGAAAAAAAATTTACATTTTTTAATTTTTAATTTATTTTTTTGAAACAGATTTTTTTTTTCTGAAAATCAAAAAGTTATTTTTCTGACCATTCCGTATATGTCCAAAACAAAACCACAAGCAAACCCTTTTAGAGCCCGTTTGGATGGCTTTTTTTTATTCAAAAACTACTTTTTTTAAGAAAAAAAGTCCTTTTCGAAAAAAGTCTGTTTGGATGCCTGCTTTTAAAAAAACAGAAGTCATAAAAAAGTTAAAAACTTACTTTTTTCAAAAGCTAAAAATTTTAACTTTTAAAAAAAGCAGAAGTCAAAAGCCAAATATTTTTTTCAAAAATCAAATATTTTTTTTAAAATCTAAATAGCTGTAACTTTTATAGAAAGTACTTTTAAAATAAGAAAGTGATAAAAAAAACTTTATTAAAAAGTCCATACAAACCAGCCTTAGTTTGGTTTGGCAGTTTCTGTGGCTTTTATGTATGATTTGAAGGGATGGATACGCGAGACTTGAAAAAAAGACTTTAACAGGAGACTTAGGCCCAATGCCCACCATCACTTGCCTTCTTTATGGACTTTCTTGGATTTGAAAGATCTAAAGTCCAACACTAACTCTAGAGTCTAGACCCAATAGAAAAAAAGTGTTTTGTATCAGCAAAATATGATTATTATTTTTTAGCGATAGTTTTACTTACAAGAGAAAAATTGTATGATTAAAATTTCATTATAAGATTATATAAATTTATAAAATAAATGTATTGTGATACTTGAAAAAAAAAATACTAACAACAAAATTAAGGGCATTTATTTATGGATTCACAGTCAATATAAATAAGTTAATATAAAAAAATTATTTATATTGAATTCAGTTTTACGACGAAAATTAAGTTATTTTTATAATTATAATTTATTTCAGATTATAATAATTTTATTAATTATAATTTTTAAATTTTTTAATACAAAAAGTTATCGTTTTGCGAATATTTATTCAAGTATATATTGTACCAGATTTCCACTGTGGATATAAAAAAAGAAAAGATAGTGCAAATGAGAGTGAGGAGGACATCCACCAACCAAAGCTATTAGCGAGGTGCAGCCTCCATTTCCAACTGAAGGAGTAAGTTTCGGATCTTACTTAGGTTCAGTGTCAGTGAGTTCTGAAAAAGTACTCCGAGATATTTTCTTAGCAGTTATTTTAGTTGTAATGACTTGATTGATGGATTTGGCTACTTGCTTTTTTATTTTGTTGAGATATATACTCCCACGTTGATTTTGTGGACAACTAATGTGGCCTTTATAAGGCCTTGGACACTTCCACCCCTTGAGCTAACTTTTGGGGTGGTGTATCCAAGATTCTTTACATATTTCAATTTGAGAATTCTTGTTTACTCCAAACCTATATCAATTTGGTTATATTTCTAGGAATTTACTCGACACTTAAATTGCACCCCTGTACTGTAATGTTTCTCTTTAAATTTGAGATCATTAAGGGCAATCTCTACTTTAGTATAAATTCAGATAATAAAACTAATTCAGCTTGTGGCTTATTATATAGCACTGACCATTTCCTATGTATGGAGTCTAATGGCATTCCTCAATAGGTTTCTTAAAAGTTGACTCGGAACATGCTGCTTGTGCTTTACACTTTTGAGATAATGTAGAAAAATATAGGAAATTCTGTTTTCTTTATGCCGTAATTTACATAGATAAGATTCACTTTTATCCTAATTAAGAAGCACCCTCAATAGGGTGGTTATTATGTATAGTTACCTACAACATGTTGTAAACTTTTATATATATATATATATATATATATATATATATATAGATAGATAGGATATTGTTTGATAATCATGGGACACATTACTAAAACTGTTTGATCTGTCTTCTTCATTCACTTGCAAGACCAATTACTTAGATGGAAGAAGAGAGGCAAATAACGAAGGAAAAATATGCTGCTGATATTTCCTCCATAAAGGAAGCACATGCTCGAATAAAATCATTGGTTCTTAAAACTCCAGTTCTGTCCTCCAGCTCTCTGGATGCATTATCAGGAAGGAAGCTGTACTTTAAATGTGAATGTTTCCAAAAGGGGTGAGAAATGAATTTGTGATGAATTACACAAATTTCAGGATGATATGGTTTACTTTACATTCCATCACACTTGTTTCTGTAACAAAATAAGGAAAAGACAATAATACACTTGTTTCTGTATTCTATGGTCATCAGTGGAGCTTTTAAATTTAGAGGTGCCAGCAATGCTGTTTTCTCTCTTGATGATGAAGATGCTGCTAAAGGGGTCATAACACACAGCAGGTAATTCTAGAAGTTGATTTATTTTCTATCAGATTATGTAAAGCTCTCCTGATTGTGTTCTACAAAATCAGTGGAAACCATGCTGCAGCATTGGCTTTGGCAGCGAAACTAAGGGGGATCCCGGCATATATTGTAATTCCAAAAAATGCCCCAACTTGCAAAGTTGAGAATGTAAAGCGGTATGGTGGTCAAGTTATCTGGTCTGAGGCCTCTATGCGATCAAGGGAGGAAATTGCAAATAAGGTGTGGCAAGAAACTGGTGCTGTCTTTATACATCCCTATAATGATGGGCGCATATTGAGGTACAATCTCAATGTTTATTATTGTTTCTGACTAAATGCCTTCTTGTCAATAAACTCTTACTGGGGGTAATCATGGGGTAGACTCATTCTTTTCATAGCAATTTACCAGTCAGATCATGTACTATATAAATGGTGCTTGAAACTTCTACTTTTTTTTTTTTTTTACATGGCTTGCTATAACTCATTGACAATCATGCATCTAACATGCATATCTTCTGATACTGAGCTGTAATATCTATGACATCATGTCAATGTTTGATTTATTCAACTTCAAAAACTTGACATATAACATAGGCATATGCTGTAGGAATTGGTGACTTGCACACCATTGCACTTTGACATGTTTGATTATTCTTGCAGTGGCCAGGGTACCATATCCTTGGAGCTTCTGGAACAAGTCCCACAAATAGATACGCTAGTGGTACCCATAAGTGGTCTGGTTTGATCACTTTTTTCTGTCATGCTGTCAGCCAAAATGAATAAAAATTTGCATTAATTTCAGTTTCTGCTACTTGATTTTCCAACAAATGAAAACTGCAGGTGGTGGTTTGATATCAGGTGTGGCTTTGGCTGCCAAGTCCATCAACCCAGCTATTCGTATTTTGGCTGCTGAACCTAAAGGTGCTGATGATGCAGCACAGTCTAAAGCAGCTGGGAGGATAATAACATTGCCCGAGACCAATACTATAGCTGATGGACTTAGAGCATTTCTTGGAGATTTCACATGGTAAAAACAAATCTCTGGCTTTTGTTTGACTATCACTATGAATGCATTTCTTTTATTTATTATTATTATTTTTGGAGGGGTTTGTTTTTAACATTCTTCTTCTCAATATGTTAATTTGTCAAGTTTGCTTATGTACCATGTTATAATGGAGCAGGCCTGTAGTACGAGATCTTGTTGAGGACATTATAACTGTGGAAGACAGTGAAATAATAAAAGCCATGAAACTGTGTTTTGAAATTCTTAAGGTTGTTGTAGAACCAAGTGGAGCTATTGGCCTTGCTGCTGTTCTATCCGATACTTTCCAGAAAAATCCAGCTTGGAAAGATTGCAACCATATAGGAATAGTAGTTTCAGGAGGCAATGTTGATCTGGCCCTGCTTTGGGATTCTTTGAACAAATGAAAATGACTTCTTTTATTTTGCAGATGTGAATCTTCATTGCTCTCGATTTGAGTGTTGTACCATTAATGATGTAACAATTTTGTGTGGATAAGTTTTCAATGCTTAAGTTGTTGGATTAAAATTCTTATTTGTCGAGAATAATTTTAAACTAATAATAATTTAGTAAATTAAAAAAAAAAAAGCTGAAAATAAATATATAGCGGATTCCTTGCAATACTGATTGAGATATAGTAAATAAGTCATATTCAATAGGTGAGAAACTAATTTCTTAAGATATATAGTTAGTGCCAAAGGCGAGGGTCCTTTCAAATTGTAATTTTTTTCATATACATATATCTCAACATCAAAATTAAAATCATATGTTTAAGGAATTCAAATCTCTTTTATTTGGACCAATCCAGCTAAGTGATTTGTGTTTTTTTTTTTTTTTTTTTTTGATAACATAGTGATTTGTGTTTTATATAATAGTATATTGATATGGATATAGATAGATTAAAAAAGAAAAATGAAACCAACTAACGTGGAACAATGACAAGGAAGTGTAGTTATTTGCAACAGACCCACCCATTAATTTCTCCACCAAGTTCTGTTCTTCAACCGCTATCTTAGTCTACTCAAAGTTCCACCTCTCGTGGTCCAAAAAAAAAGGATCTTCATACGTTATTTTCTCTGCATAGTTGTCATCGAGTCTATTGCTCCCATTTTCCATTCTCTATTGCTCTCCTAGCTTTCTTTTCATTCACATTTCGCTGGGAGCTTCTTTCTCATTGCTGACAAAATGGTATGCTTTTTCTCTTGTCCCTTCTTTCTCTATTTTGCTAGCAAAATAATTATTACTGTTTTTGTGAATAATCTTGAAGAGGCTTGCACCCTCTTCATACTCTTTCAACTTTTGAAAAAATTAGACTATCTACCTCTGAATGCAGCATCTTTTGAAAGAACACTATTACCATTTGTATAACTGCTGAAAAAATTCACATTTCCTAAATTACTCTCTATGGTTTTAGACATATGGCTAGGGAATTCAAGTTTATGAGATCTTACACTCAAATTTCAATCACATTAGGAGATGATATAGATATGTAGGAGGATAATGAGCCACTCTTCCGATCCATTATGCATATATCTTAGAATCGTTATATGAAAGATGGTTCCAAGTCACTTTCTACATCTATTCATATTCGTGAGTCACATACCCAACTGTCATCTATTTAATTTCTCTGCTTTAGAGATTGCATTACCCTTCAAAATGAACATGTTCTTCTAGCATTTCTTAAGCCAGTACATTAAAAACCACTTTTTTTTCCATCTGATCCCTGATGAAGAATTAATAACAATCGTTATAATCGGGAAATGCATAGCATAGCAACACCAATTCATTAGTGTAATGATTGAAATCTTAAGTTGATGACATGAAATTTTGGGGCAGGCAAACGCAGTGTCCGGAATGGCTGTGGAGGATGAGTGCAAACTAAGGTTCCAGGAGCTTAAAGCAAAGAGAAGCTACCGTTTCATTGTGTTCAAAATTGATGGACAGCAAGTGGTGGTTGATAAATTAGGGGACCCCGAAGAAAGTTATGACGATTTCATGGCCAGTTTGCCAGATAACGAGTGTCGTTATGCAGTCTATGATTTTCATTTCACAACAAATGAGAATTGCCAGAAAAGCAAGATCTTTTTTTTTGCATGGTACTTTATATATATATATATATATATATATATACACACAATTGCACTTGATAAGTTGTTTTGGCTTTCTTACTAACCACAATTTGTAACCTTGAAATTATGTATAAAAAACCAAAAACCTGTCCCCGTTGTACCTGGACTTGCGCCGGTAGGAACGATGACAATCCTTATTTGCAGCCTTAGCCTTACATATCTGCAAATGGTTGTTTCTCAAATTCCAACTTGTGACCTTTCATTCACAAGGGAGTAGTTTTATCATTGCTCCAGACTTGTCCTTTTAACCTTAAAATATGTACATTAATGCAAATTTAACTTCTTTTAGTTAAGAGTGCAGGATAATTTGAATCAGTGTTTTAATTACCATGTTAATCATATCCCGGGTGCAGGTCACCAGATACCTCAAAGGTGAGGATGAAGATGGTGTATGCAAGTTCCAAGGATAGATTCAAGAGAGAATTGGATGGCATCCAAGTAGAAGTGCAAGCCACTGATCCAAGTGAAATGAGCTTGGACATTGTGAAAGCGCGAGCCTACTAATTATGCTTCTCTTTTTGCTATCTTAGCCCTTCTTCACTGTTATGGATTAATTCCTAATTGTTTGGCAACTTTGGAAGCCATCTATTTTTTGCTATTATAGTTTGGATTCAACAACGACTGATCCAAAATGACATTCACTGTCATAACCATTATTCTTCCTTGTATTCAATCCTTGTTCAGTTTTTCTAGTGATCTTGGGTTCTTGGTTTGTTTGAACTTTGAAGGGCCACGTGTGGTGGCTTCAAGATTAGTAGCATCTATTGTAGGTTGGTTCTCTACCAAGTTGCCAATCTAAACACTTGGCTTTTCACTTGAGGTTGGATTTTGTGCTTTTCACTTAAGGTTGGATTTTGTGCAATAGCAGCAGCTACTGAAAGAATGATAAGCACTGATATATTTCTAATGTCTCTTCATTTTTTTCTTGCCAATATATCTTCCTTTTTATATCATTTTTTGCCAATGTCATGATTTACATGTGCGAAAGGAGAATAGGATATTCTAGTCCCCCCCCCCCCCCCCCCTATTTTCCCTACCTATCTTCAAGATTATTGAATCAAAATCTCATTCTTTTTTTTTTCTTTTTGAAATTTTGATCTATTGATATTGAGTAATTAAGAAAGACACGACAGTAGGATAACCTATCACATCAAACAAATACAAATCAATGAATTTAAAGTGATTGGGCTAACATGTTTGATAATGCTTGGTACAGATCCCCTAAATTTGAATCATCTCACATTTGTGTGAGGTAACAGAATTAGATTTTAAGTGTGCTTAAAACAAACTTAAAATTGCACAGATACAATCATATAAAAAGATAACTGTGTGCCCGGATTGGAATTAATCTCCAGTTTGAGATATTCGAAATTTGACTCGCTTCAAAAAAATAATTAGAATTGATATAAAAAAAAATATGTAGCAAAATAGTTACTAAATAAATTTTTTTATCACCAATTTAGTCCTCTATAAGAATAATTATTTTAAATTTTAGATTTTTTAAGGATTAATTCAGCGCCAAAATATTTGAAAGAATGATGTGATAACTTTTTGATTTTCAAAAAAAAAATTAAATACTTAATATGATGACATACGAATCTTTGAATAACCAAATGGATAAAAATAATGTATGGATATATCATTTTGCCCGCGAGAGATTTTCTTTTTCTTTAAGATTCAATAAATCTAGATATATTTCTACAAAAAAAAATTAATAACAGATATATCTTTTAATTTATTTATTTTTTGATAAACTAGATATATCTTTTAATTTTAATCCTTTTCAAAGTATATCTTGATATCGAAAATAAACAGAATATAGAATGAAAAGTTTTAATATTAAGCGAAAAAGAATAAAACTACCTTACTGTTATTTAGATATTTGATGATAAAATAGAATAAAATTTTCATTCTATCATTTAAAAAGTAGAAGAAACAATAAGAAAATTAATAAATAATTGATTAGTTCCCATGCCCCTTAAACTAAGAGGGAAAAAAATAGATATAATGTATTTTATCAAATTCTATTATATTGTATTCCAATTTATTTTAAACAATTCAAATAACAATGTATTCGTATTATATTCTAATACATTTAGAAGTTTTTCGTATCCGATCATAGTTCACAGAGCAATATTTTTATTTACCGAATAAATACAAAAAGGAAATAATTTTCTCCTTTTACGAGAAAAAGACTTGTTTTTTATACATACATCAAAATCCGTGTCAATTTATTTTTAAAAAAAAATTCAAAAAAATTAATGTGATATTATCTTTTAAAAATTAACTAAGTATACATATTTTCTAATTCTTAAAAAAAATAAAGTGATAAAAAAAATGAAAAATTCAAAACTCACATATGGTATTACTTTGAATCACTTATTCTCCCTGTAATTTTTTTTTTATCACTTAATCCCTTATGATTTTCTCCATCTATATTAGGGGTGTTCGTGGTATGGATTGGATCGATTTTGAAAGCAAAAATCATCTGATCCAATACCTTTGGTTTGATTATTTAATCATCATTCGGTTTGAATTTTTTTTCAAATCTGATCCGATCGGATCCAATATTTTTCAGATTGGATTGAATCGGTTTTCGGTTTTTTCAAAATCTTAAAATTTGTTTCATGATTATTGTGCAAATAACATCTTTTGTATATATTGGCTTTGTAAATTTTTATTTTTTTTAAATACAAAAGCATCAGTAAACGATAATATAGTTTTTTTTTTGGCAATAAGATATGAAGTTCTACATAGATGAAATTTTGTTGATGAGATGTGATTAGGTTTTTCTTGGGTGTAGTTGATGGGTTAACAAGTCTTGAGTTTAGAAATTTTTTGGCTATTATTGGGGAAAAGTCGAAGTAGGTAGAGAAAAATTAATATATTGGATCTGTTTAGATTGGATCGGTTTTCATCAACCCATCCGAAAACCGATCCAATCCAATTAAAATTTGTGGTTTTTTTTTTCGATTTTTCGATTTTCGGTTTAATCGATTATTGGTTTTTCGGTTCGGTCACCGCGGTTTGAATCGGTTTGGATCGGTTGATGAACACCCCTAATCTATATCCTTCCTTAACACTATTAGAAAAATAACTAAATATAAATATTCTACCATTTTTACAAGAAAAAAATACCAAATAGTATGAAAATTTAGAACACTTAATAAAAGACTAAAGAAAAAAATAAAAAATAAAAAATAAATGTGTCAGAATAAAAAAAAGAATAAGAACAAAAAAAAATGAAATCAAATGATGGTAACTCAGTTTGCGCATATAGGAGCTGGACAGGTGGTGATGAGAGCATATGTTTGATCCTCCCCAATATCATCGAGGGGTTTGTGCCTGTTTGGATGGCCTTTTATTCCCAAAAAAGTTGATTTCTTTTTTTAAAAAAAAAATCCTTTTGAGAATTTTTATATGTTTGGATAACAATTTTTTTAAAAAGCAAAATTTAAAATAAATGTTAAAGGGAAAAATGTTTCTGCAGTTAATGCAGATAAGTTATCTGCATTTATTCTCAAAACGACATCGTTTTGGTATTGAAATCTTAAAAAATTATAAATATAAAGACTATTATAACCCTAAAATAAATTAATATTACAAAAATACCATGATTTCCGCCCCAAAATGACGTCGTATTGGGCTTACTTCAGAAAAAGCGAGCCCAATGTTAAAATGCAGCTTTTTTTACCCAGTAATTGGTTGCTTTTGAAAAAAACAGAAACTAAAGGATAATATAAATTTTTAAAATATAATTTTAACCTCATCCTATCATATCTATTTTTTCTCTCCTTATATCACTATCATGCTATTTTTTTTAGCTAGGTCTTCCAACAACCTATCACTTTGCAATCAAACATCTTCCTATAACATTGAAGCAGCTTGTGGACTTTTTTTTTTTTTTTTGTTGCAACCACATTCTCCAAATTTCATTTGCTTAAATCCCAAAATTTGTTAAAAAAAGAGTTTATAGATCCTTTTTGTAAATTTATATATAAAAAGTATTTTTTTATTTTATTCTCCAAATAAATTTTTTATTTAAAGGTGATTTCAGATCATACATCCAAACGTAAAATGATTTTATCATTTAAAAAAAAAATACTTTTAAAAAAAGCAATGCATAAAAAGTATTTTTTTCATAAATTCATCCAAATGCGTCCTTAAAGCTTTAATCTTGGATTCGCTCCAAACAGGATTGTCGCACGTGAAGGATACATGTGGTTTATCAAAAAAAAAAATAGAAGAAAAAATAAAACCAAATATATTAAAAATCACGTCAATTACAGTCTATAGAGAAGAATAAAATAAAAAAAGCCTAAATGAAAAAATATATACTAAAGACAAAAAAAACTAGAAGAAATAATTAAGATACAAAAAATAGAATAAAAAGAAATAATAGTTATGAGTTTCTGATATATTTAATTTTAATTTTAATTTTAATTTTTGTCATTGGTCTATTTTATTTTTTTATTTAAATATGTTTGGTTGTGTTTCTATTTTTTATTTTTTGATCTATTTTATTTTTATTTTTTCTAGATTTTTTTTTAGTCTTATGTCACCCCGTCTCCTAAAGATTTGCGTAAGAAAAAAATAAAAATAAAAATAAAAATAAAGAGATAAAATAGAGATGTAAAAAAGATCAAATAAATCTAAATAAAAAAGAATAAATACACCAAGAACAATTCATAATTGTGATTTCTTTTTCTCTAATTTTTTTTTTTATACATTTTTAGACACATTTGATTTTTTCTACTATTTTTTCTTTATCTTTTATTAAGTGTTTTAATTTTTCATAATATTTAATATTTTTTTCTTTTTCTAAGAATGATAGAATAAGTATACTTAGTTAAAAAAAAAAAGCCATGTGAAATTAAGTGATTAAAAAAAGTCACAAAGTATAAGTAATTCAAAGTAAAAAATTGGTGGTACCACTTTTTTTTTATCTCGCGCAATTCTTTTCTCGTATAAGTGTATAACAGCAGAAAAACAGTTGCTCTAGTTTAAAACTCAAAAGTAAATCGTAATTAAGGATCTAGTTTTTCCTAATTTGCACAGTGCATCCTCTCTAGGGTTTATCGATCAAAATACAAACCAACCATCGTGCGTGCGCCTCTCTCTCTCTCTCCTCTCTCGCGCATGTGAATCATGGAGGAACCTCCACTTTCAGTTTCAGGAACACCAACAGCAACAGCATCGTGCTGGAGCAACGTGGTGAAGAAGCAGCCACCTCAACAAGAGTCCTTGCAGAACGAGCGAGTCTTGGAAGAGACCTTCAAATCCATCAATGGCATCTCAGTTGCCGTCATCGACGCCAACGCCGTTATCGATGCCGGCGACAAGCTTCACAGCTTCGCCGACAAGTTCGTCTCCGTCCCAGAAGTCATGGAGGAAATTCGAGACCCTGTATCACGCCACAAGCTCTCTTTCCTTCCCTTCACTATCCAAACCATGGAGCCTTCCCCTGAAGCCATCAACAAAGGTATCTCTAATATTTTATAACCCTAAAGTTCAAAGAAAAAGGGCTCTTCGTATTTTATGTAAAATTTGAAGGGCACGTGACCTCTTATTGCGGTTCAGTTTTGAATTGGCACTGTAATTAGCCTGGTTGTAACCAAATTTTTATGTTTTCTGCTTCTTCTTTTTTATCGGTACAAGTAGCGTATAAAAAGACTTGAAGAAGATTCTATTTATTATTAGTTTGTAATTGTAGGAAAATTATCTTGGATTTTGATTTAGAGTTGAAAACTTTTCTCTTGCTAATTGCATCCCTACATAATCATGGTTTCTTCACAATGTCATTATTTTTTAACTATATCTTAGCCATTCTGACTAAATTATTTTTTTCTAATGAGGATGATGTCGTTTAATTAATATGATATTGTTAGAAATATAATATAAAATATAAAATCATTCATATGCCTTCATCTAATCGCTTAAGCTTTTGGGAGAGTTGATTGCTGGACCGATATCTTATGTCTCTTGTTGTTTGTAACTTGAAAGTGTGTATTAGATTCTAACGTAAACTCTTTTTACCAATGGGACATGGCAGTTATCAAATTTGCTAGGGCTACTGGTGACCTACAGACACTTTCAGATGTTGATATCAAACTAATAGCTCTAACTTATACTTTGGAGGCTCAAGTTCATGGAACAAAACATCTGAGGGACATCCCACCTCCTGTACAAATGGTAAATGTGAAGAGGTTACCCGAGAAGGACATGCCGGGATGGGGTTCTAATGTGCCTAATTTGCAAGAGTGGGAGGCATTAGAACATGATGCCGAGGACAAGTCAAATTCCAATTCAAGAATCCTTCCTTTGCAGGACTTAAACTTGAACATTGTTCCTCAAGATGACCACACCGGAGATGGTTTGGTGGAGCATACAAGTGAAACTCCTTCAGAAATTCAAGAAGGTGGTTCAAGGAAGCCTAAGAAATATCTACCTGAGAAAAAGGAGATAAACATTGAAGGGACGACAATGGTGGCTGATGGAATTGATGCATCACAAGGACAATTTGATGACAATGCTGGTGATTGGCTGCCTGCTGTCAGTCGAAGTACTCATAGGAGATATCTAAGAAGGAAAGCTAGACGTGAGTACCATGAAGTATTATCCAGTAATCAAGATCAGCAAGATATGGAAGAAAACATTGATGGTAGTGTCAGGGAAGATGCTAGAACTTCAAATCAGCTTGTTCATCATGGTGATGAAGAAAAGCATATTGAAAATGTTGTGTCTGAGAATGATCAGATAATAGAAGAGAACAAAGACAGTGAAAGTGTCTCTGCAATTCTGAAACAAATGAGGCTGGAAGAAGGTTCACTAGAAGTTCTTGATGAAGAACACCGACTAAGTTTGTCTCCTGAAGAACTCCAAACAAACAATGGTAGACTGCAGGAAACCACATCTGATGGCAATTCAACTATAGCCACTGAACCATGCAAGACAGATACAGTCAATGATTTGTCAAATGACTTAGAAATTGCAAGCCAGACCACCGAAGCTGCTGATTTTTCATATGCAGATGATGATGGTAGTGAGCAAAGTTGGATGCTTAGATCTTTGTCTGAATCAAGTGTAGCCTGTGTAACCAGCGACTTTGCAATGCAAAATGTTCTTCTCCAAATGGGTTTACGCCTGCTGGCACCTGGAGGATCACAGATACACCAGCTGCACAGGTAATTGTCAGTGGCTTCTTCAATATTTCATTATGTAATTACAACTTTCCTGCATGAAGAAAATTTTTGAATGCATAAAGGAATTAAAACTTAGATGTTTTATTAAACATAATGTAATATTATAATTATGTTATGACATCCAAGGAAGCACTGACACTCCAAAAAATAGGGAGTGTCGTGTCCGACATGCCGACAGGCTCCGACACAGTGTCCGACACGCGGTCAACATTCCCGACACGTTGACCATTTCGACATGCGAATTTGACTGTGTCCGACACAGTCAAATGGCATTTTTGTAAAATTATTAATTTTTAAAAATATTATTTTTAAAAAAAATTAAAATATATTAATAAAGCTTCCACCTTATCATATCAATTTTTTTTTTTTTCCTTTTTTCCCCTTAAGTAGATAAGAGATCATCTCAGCACCATCGTTGTCATTCCTGCTACGCTCTTGCTGTGTCTCCTTCTCTCTGATCTCTCTCTCTCTCTCATCTGATTTGATCTCTCTCTAATATGATTTGATCTCTCCCTCTCACTCATCCCAGTTCCTGTTTTTTTATTAAAGCTTCCACCTTTATAACGTCTTGATGGGTATTATTAATTTAGTTTCATTTTTTTGTTAAATTATTGAATATTAAATGAAATATACACTAAATAAATTAAAAATATTATTTAATATTAAAACGTGTCCCAACGTGTTGAAATCCATATTTTTTTAGGATTGACGTGTCGGAGTATCGTGTTGTGTCGTGTCACGTGTCACGTGTCACGTGTTGCGTGTCGTGTGTCGTGTGTCGTATCGGTGCTACATAGATGACAACTGCCTATGCTGCATGCTATGACAATTTTAATATACGTGCTTATCTTTTTATTATTTGCATTCCAGATGGATACTTAAATGTCATGCCTGCTATGCTGTCACTGCTGAGATTGGTAGGATTTTCTGTCCAAAATGTGGAAATGGTGGCACCTTAAGGAAGGTAGCTGTCACTGTTAATGAAAATGGAATAATGTTAGCAGCCCGTCGACCTCGAGTTACATTACGTGGCACAAAGGTGAGCATATTGATATAAGATACTGGTGGATATCAATTCTGTTTTCTCATGCCTATTAGTGTGCTAGTCATTTTTTAATAGAGAATGTTTATTGTGCCACTCATTTTGATGTAGTACTGTAGAGTCATTTTTTAAATTGTTGAATGCTTAACTTGATTAATGGGTTACTAATAATTAATAAATAATAGGTTTGGAATCAGAATATGGTGTATCTCATACCCTTCCTGAGATTTATAAGACTTGATGGGCATTTTTGTCCCAAAATTCTGATTGCTAAATGTTGATTTTAATTTGAATGAATAATGCATCTCAATAATCGTTTTAGGAAGTAAAAAGCATATTGCCATTCACAAGATGGGATCACGTATGTCCCTGATGTACGCATTGAAATCTTTGTCACTTAGCGGTCCTTGTTTTTTTTACATGACTTTATGTGCAGTTTTCATTACCTCTACCCCAAGGTGGAAGGGATGCAGTCACAAAGAATCTCATTCTCCGTGAAGATCAACTTCCTCAAAGGGTACTTTATCCTAAAACAAAGAAGAAAACCAACAAGCAGGTTGTGTGTGTGTGTGTGTGTGTTTAAACTACTTATATAGCTAGTGATTTATTTCCCATGGGAATATGGTGCTTTTTCTTTTTGCCCCTCAATCAATTTTAAGTTTCACACTAACCTGAGCTACTTAATTACACTTTGTAGGATGATGACTTCTTTACGCCTGACAATGTCTTCGGCCACCACACAGATAAGAAAGCTTTCCAGCCTCCCATAAGGAAAGCATTAGCAGCTTTCAGTGGGAGGAGAAATCCTAATGACAATCACTTCTCACGCAATAAGCATAAGTAGTGGATTTGTCCAAAAGTTTTGATTGGCTTTTCTTCCCCCTCAATTTTGTTTTTATTGCTGGACTTTGAAAGTTACCTGAAAAACATGATTAAAAGCATGATTCAGTGATTGATTATGAACCTGTTAATTAGTTTCTTAAAGATGATCAGTTTCAATCCCTTCCTGTCTTCCTTAAAGACGCAGAGACCTGCTCAGTTTGATTTCAAATATGGATTTTGGCAATTAGGAATAGTTTGCTCTTCTTGGGGCACCAAAGTAATTTTTGCTTTTGTTCGCCAACTTGGACAATGTGAAGGCTGCATTAGTTTTGAATGGTTTTAGATTTGGAGTGTTTTGAGTTATTGACTATTCATGAACGGTTTGGATCGACTGGAGTTAAATAATGAATAAATAAATAAACTGGACTCTGCAGTTATCCAACGATTTATATTTATACTTTTTTAATGATATTTTTTAAAACTTTTTACGACTGGGAGGATGGTGATTTATTTATGAGACGGAGGGGTGGACACTGGACAGATCTTCCGTGACAAGTGGATGTGGGGAGTTATCCTTGTGTCATAGCTAGAAGTCACGTCTGAGGAAATCTTTATTTTAAAATAAAAGCTTTTTCTCCTCTTTGCTCTTCAATATGAAGGTTTTTTTTTTTTTTTTTTTGAGTTTTAAGAAAAAATCTCTCACTCAATCTTTAATTCTCCGAGTGAATAAGGAGAGATCGTACCAGGTAGGTGAAATCATAAAGAGAGAAAGTGATAGGGGCCAACGGCCAAGGCTGGACAAGTGCCCACATCGGAGTTCAAGTATATATTGGAATTTGGCCATTTAGGCCTGGGCATGGCTCGGCGTCTAAGTCTTGACCCGGAACAAGTTATTTCCCCAATCTTTTCTCCTTAGTTTTCATTCAATGGAAACAGCAAGAGAACGTAAAAAGTGGATTTACGATGATTGAGTGGATTTTTTTTTTATTACTTTATTCTCAAATCCGTAAACCACGCAGAAGCCTGGTCTTACATTCATAGTTCAACGCAGTCAACAGTCGCAAATTAATATTATGATGTGAATTCTTTGCATTAATTTAGGCTGTGGTCCTAATAGCTACCTATATCAATAATATCACGCACTTAAAGCTCGACTTTGTGCTCAGCAAAAAAGTAAACCTCTGAATAAGTGAAGGCCCCAGTGGAATAACAAAATGGTCAATATATACAAAAAGAAAAAGGAAAAACAGTTGTCTAGCACAATCTTCTTCCATTCATTCAACAATTTCTTAACTTTCTACCTGTCAGCCACTGCTATACAAGGACACCTTGTCTTGCATTAATCCTTACACATTCCCTTTTTGAGCAATCATTTACAGGTAAGAGAAATAAAATTAAAGAGAAAAAAGTGAAAGAGAAAGAAAAGAAAAGAAAAGTAAGTAATCAGAAAAGTATTATTGGTTATAGGTCTGCTTCAGTGTATATATATTGTGTTAGTTTTGACTTTTGAGTATTGACTCAATTATGATGAAAGTGCTAGCTCAGCCCAAGCCAGAGATGATGCCTTGAGCTCCACGCTTATTGATGTGTCAATTCTGCTCTCAAGCATGCTGCATAATTCTCGCATTGATGGACGCACAGTGGGATCAGGACTGATACAAAGTGTTATTACCTCACATATTACTTTGAGGTCATCATATCTAAAATGTTTCAACTCAGGATCCACCAAATATGACATTACTTCTGGCATTTCAAGATAGTCCATGGCCTGCAGCATATATGAATTTAGCATTAAGATTTCATGCTTTCAGGGATGCCTATAAAAGATCAAAGGGCAAAACCCAGTGCACAAGACTCCCTGATTTGTGAGGGCAAGGGTGCCTACAAAAAAAAGAAAGAAAAAAATTTCAGGAAATTTCTTACCCAATCCACCAAGTACCCTTTCTCCTTGCAGTATGGAGGTCTCCCACTGATTATCTCCAGTAGAAGTACTGCAAAAGCATAAACGTTTCCTTTGGTATCAAGATGGCGTGCCTCAAGGGAGTTTGGAAGAACACAAACAGAACCTTGGCTGCTAACAGAACCAGAATTTTTTTCTGATCTTTCAATAATTGTCTTCCAACTTTCAAAATCAACCAGCTGCAATTTAATTAAGGTTCATTACAAAGAGGACAAAAACATACAGTACATAAACATAGGTGCGCATTAGATGACTCTTTCTTATCCTCAATCTTGACTGCTATAAGATACTCAGCACAATCATAATTGGCATGTTAGAAAATTTAAACTAGGTTGCATGCACACCTTAGGGGAAAAATCTTCTGTGAGGTATACGGCATTGGAATTCAACTCTGAGATAGTGAATGGCGGCTCAACTTCGGTGTGCAAATACTTGAGTCCACGTGCAATGCCTAAAATAATTTTCATGCGCCGTGTCCAAGACAGCTGGCACCCTTCTCCATCTGCAGTCATAATTTTATGTTTTAAGGAACTGAAACGCAAAGAAATACATAATACACTATCTAGAAACTTTACTTACAACAATGTAGGTGGTCATAAAGTGTCCCATTTGATGCATACTCAAAAACGAGCATCCTTGTAAATGGAGTGTCCTCTCTACAATAGCCTAGTAGTTTTCCAGTATTATCATGAATTAACCTTGCCAATTCTGCTACCTGAATGGCATAAATAGAAGAAAAATTTAAAGACTTGTTTGATTATTTTTCTGTCAATTCTTGCACACTGTATGCATTGGAATGTTTTATGGGTTTTATAAGAGTTATGTTGTAGGAAAAGTGATTGTGTAATGTTATAGAGATTCGTTTTGCGTGTTTTAATTTTTTATTTATTTTTTTGTTTTAAAAAGTGTGAGCCCTACAAAATGTTGTGAGTGTAGGAAAGTTTGTTGTGTTATGTTAAAGGATAAAATGAAAACCCATGTTTTATTTACCTCTCTCTGAAAATAGAGCTCCAGGTATCCTGTCCAATGCTCTTCCTTGATGCAGAGGGAAATTACAGCAATCTCAGGCCCACCTTTCATGGTACCCTTATAGACCACACTATCTGGTGAAGACCCAATTATGTTGCTGAAGTCTTCACATGCCACTTCAAGCTCTTGTCTGTTATATCTAGTCACGTCCTTCAGCATCTCAGAGTCTGCACATCGATAATGTTAAAAATGTTGAAAATAGTTATAAAAATATTAGAAGTAAATACAAAGCAGAAAACAAAGAAACCTAACCTATATATACTGTCATATGATCTTTCTCGCTTGCAGATTTTTTCCAAGGAATAATGATAGATGATCTGTTGTTAAACCTCTGGAAAGCAGTGAGAATAGCAATCAAAAAGAGAGAACCAACCATGGTTCCCGTTACTATTTCTAGAGCCAAAAGCCAAGCAGGTTTTGATGCTCCATGATGCTTGGACACATGATCAGCAGCAGATTGGTACTTTGGGTTCACTGATGGATGGCTCTGGGCAGGTGAAGCACCAGCTATGAAATAATAGTTCATTATTAGATGTGAAACAAGCTAGGAATGATTAAAGGTAAAGCGTATATCCTAGTAAATTGATAAAATGCATATTGGATTTACAAAATTCATATTAAATTTGTAAATATCACATAGATCCATTATTCCATTCTAAACACCGGGTTGCGTTTCAAAAAAGGAATGTAAAGGAAATCCAGTGAAAGCCACTTTACAATGAAGTCAAGAGTCAATACTGAACTCATTTCATCTGCTCCGAATGAATCAAATTTTATGAAATGTCTACGAGGAATTTTAAATGCAAAAAAGACCATGTACATACCACATTGCACAGAAGTGCGCTGTTTTATGTCTTTGATCTGGAGGCAATTCCCTTGAAAGCTTGATCTGTATGACAGAGTTCATGTTTTCTAAGTACAGAGGTTGACTAGAATGCCAACATGAAAAGAAAATAAAAAAGGTACCTTGGAAGATAGTCCAAGCATTTGGGTATGCTACCAACAAAAAAGTTATATGAAAAATCAGCAACTTTTAACTGGGATGAACGACAGAAGCCAATTAAGTTCATATTTGAGGCATACCTGAAGAAATAATGGGAACTTCAAGAGTCAGATTAACAAGATCCAAATTTTGATGGTATAACTTGTATTTTATACATACTTGAGAGCTTCACTATGTTTTAATTACAACCAATTCAAGCAAATTCATAATGCCAAAGGTAATTTAAGTCTCCCTAATTATATCCTTATACCCAATGACTGGATTCATGAACACATTGACAATTTGACATTTGTAGCAATGATAAATTATCATATCCCATAGATGCCCAAACTATTTCTTTCATAGTAAAAACAATTAATCCCTAAACAAACTACCCCAATTCGAATTTCAAATTTTTTACTCACATCCCATGCATATTCGAAGAAAAATTTGAACTACCACCAGCAGGAACAGGTCCTTGAAGCTTATTTCTATCAAGCCGAAGTTCTTGAAGGTACTTCAAATTTCCTAGTTCTGGAGGTAGCCTACCAGTCAACCCATTGGACTGCAAGTTTCTACAAGAATGCAAATAAGTTGAATACATATGAGTCCATGACAATACTGTTAAAGAGTCAATAATTTTCTCTATTGAGGAAGAGCATATTGATTTCCTTTTACATTTTTACAACTTGGGTCAAATTCCCAATTTCTGGAGGAATTGGTCCTGATAACTGATTCATTCCCAAATCCAACACCGTAAGAGATTTTAACATGCCCAATTCTTTCGGTATTATTCCAATGAGATTGTTTCCATGCAAGATCCTACAACCATAAGAACCAGAAATTAGTTACAACCATGACTTTCCAGAACTATAACACATGGTAATTGCACTAAATCACTAATTAAACGAAGTAAGATTTTCAGAATGATTTGTGGATAGGAGAAAACAAGGAACATACAGTTCTTGCAAGTAGGTGATTTGCCCAAATTCTGGAGCAAGAAACCCCCTTAATAGTGACCCCGATATGTTTCTGCAAAGAAGGATCCCAATCTGTAGTATTAGAAATGTGCTAGCTTAGAAATGTATGTCATCAATTGATCATCTAAGCCATGAAGCATGTCAAATCACAACACTACAATTTATAACCCAAAGAAATGCACTAAATAGATCCATGGTATCTTACAGCTTGATGACATGATCTCCAGCCGCAGTGCATGAAACGCCATTCCAGTCACAAGGATCTGAATCCAAAGTATTCCAATTGGACAAAACCAGATGTGGATCTTCATATACAGCTTCTTTGAAAGTTATAAGTGCCCCAACTGTGCAGAAAAAAAAAAATCTAAGGTTAAGAAAAAGAGGGGGCAATGCAAATGCTTCATTTCTGTGAATGCTGAAATACCATAGTTCCATTAAGTAGCCAAGACAAAAGTACTATGAGAATGAAAAGCAATTACTCGATCTCAAAACTTCCAAGTTCACGCAAGAAACCAAAATGGCAAATTTTGCTACTTAATGACACTATACACATTACTTTAAAACTCACAAGAAATCATTGATTTCCAAGTTCCAACGAAAAGAAGAACAAAAAGAACATAAGATTAACCATTTTTGTGCTTTCTTTATCGTTTCCCAGTAGCCCAAAAAAGGTTAACATGAGTGAAGAGTTGAGATCTGAGAGAGAAAGTGAATACTCAACCATAAATTCATACCTTCATTTGAGGCCACCATACCAGAAGCCACGAAGGAGAGCGTGAAAACCAAACCCAGAAACAACAATGAAGTACATAAATTCATCTTCTCCCAAGGTTTTCTGCACTCTATTGTTCCTTCTTCCTTGTTAGTCACCAAGGAGCTCTTCCCAATAAAAGTAGAATTCAGCAGAAAAAAAAAAAGGCAGCAAAAACTGAAAACCTCGGAACTTGGTGGGATTTATACCATGAAAAAAATACAAACTAAGCCGAGTTCAGGGGTTCTAAAAATGCACATTACTACGTAGATTTATCAATGAAGAAATGAAAGATAAAAGTGGGGAAACAGCGGGAGAAAAAAGCAGTTTTAAATCCTAGATTTGAAAACTGCCACTGAAAAGAAGAAGAAGAGAAACACAGAAGCAAGTAAATTCTGAAAAAGGGTGACACTGACACTCTACTAGACTCAACTCTGAAGAAAACCCACAAGAGGATGAAACTTTGATTCAAAGAGAGTTTATCCAAGATTGGATTTTGATGGCACTTAACATGAAAATGAATGGCCTTTTTTAGTTTTCAATTATGTTAAAAATATCGCGTTTTATGAATGTTTTTGGTATAAAAATTCATTCTTTTTCTCTTTCTCTTCTTCCCCTCTTGCTTGTTTCAAATTAATTGGAATGATTAGTGTTATTTTTCTACTAGTTGATTGCATTTCCAGGTACTGATCGGTGATGGGGATGGGTTAAAGCTTGATTATTTGAAATATCGTGAGGCGAGAAATTCGAACTCGCTTTTTTGCGTCATTTGTCAAAGGTTGTTAAAATCAAGGTTGGACTCAAAGGGATCGATCAACAACTAACATTGTAATTCAGAATTTAGGTTTACTGTATGGATCAAAAAATAGTTAATTATTTTAAAGTCTTAATATTGTTTCTGCTCCCAACAAAATTATTTTTTGGTGAAGAATAACTGCGATTTATTCAAAAGGATAGTTAATTATTTTTACATTAACATTAAATTCATATAGTTAATTATTTTAAAGTCTTAATATTGTTTCCGCTCCTAACAAAATTATCTCTGTGGAGGATACTTGCGATTTATTCCAAAGGATAGTTAATTATTTTTACATTAAATCAAAATCAAATCCATACAGTAAACCTAAATTCTGAATTACAATGTTAATAAACTGTATAAGATTGTAACCCCTTTAAAGATGACTTTAAAATTAAAAGGTTAAATTCTATTTTTAAACTTACTTTAATTTCAATTTCAACTATGAGTGTGAAAGGGACTTAATTTTAAACATGTTTGAAATTTAAAAGTTGAAAATTGATTGAAGTAGCTTACTAAGCTTAGCATCAATTATGCATTTAGCTCATATGTACACATATTATATTATGGGTTTATTATGAATAGTTTTGGAGATAAGATATTATTACTATCAATTAGTATTATTATCAATGTTATTACCAATTTGTTTCACAGTTAGATCAATTATATTGATCCAATGATTATATTTATTTTTACTTTTATATAGTTATGATTTCTCATATTTAATGTCACATTAAATATGAGGAATCCTAACCATATAAAGAAAAATAAATATTAAATATTAAATATAAGAAAAAAAATAAGATTTTTAGAGAGTTAAATAAGAAGAATTAACATAATCGATCTAACGAGAAAACAAACTCGTAATGACATTGATAATAATGCTAATTAGTAATAACAATATCCTATGTCATAATTTCGTATACATCATGATCCAAAACCTATAAATGTGTTTGCGAATTACGTGCGGCATTCAACGGGCATGTGAAGAAAATTTAAAAGAAAAATTAGGATCCAACGATAGTGAAGGATTTGTATAAATTTTGGTGAAATTGTATTGGTGACTTTCAGCGTTTCCTAAAATGAAAATGAAATGTTGTGCAAACTGCAAATCAGTGTGACTAATAAAGAGAGTAGAGACGATAAATAATTTTAACTTTTAAAATGTGTATGCCAATTTAAAGTTTAAGAAAGTGAATCTTATAAAAAAAATTGCAAAACTTTTGTATTTGTTCCAATGAAAATAAATTTCATGGGCAGTTTAAAATAAATCCAACTTATAAGAATACCTTGTAGTCTCAATGAAAAAAATATATCATATTTCATAAAATTTAAAGTCACATAAGTTAAAATCAATAAAAATTCTGCATAAAAATAAAGGGATTTATTATTCTTATATTATATAAAAAAAAATTTATCTCTTACACGCACAAATTCAAGATAGATCTCATTCTACTTTCTCTCTCTCGTCTTGAAAGTGGATCTCACATGTATAAATGAGTTGTAATTATCTCCTACTGTATGAGAAAATTATTATCCAAAAATAAAATAATAAAATGGTTTAAGTAGATTGAAGCACCTCAGTGGTTCAATGTTGAGTTTTAGTAAAAAATTCATGTAAAACTATACCGATATAATATTCATCAAAGGGAAAAATATTTTTCCACCGAGATAAAGTTATCTTCAGTGAGATCAAAACGACGTCGTTTTGGGATTATAAGATTAAAAAATTATAATGATAAAAACTAATATGACCCTGCAATATATTATAATTACAAAAATACCTTAATTTTTGTCCCAAAATAACATCATTTTGAGTTCATCAGAGATAATTTATCTCCCGTGACGGAGAAATCATTTCCCGATATTCAAATATGTATTTAAATATCAAAATAAAAATGGCGTAAGTTTTATGTTTGGCCGCTAAGGTCTAAAGTTATCGTGGTAGATACCGCGATTTATCATAAGAAATAAATAAAGACGAAATGGTATTGACTTTTGGTACAGTGTAAATTTACTCCCTCTCGACTTAAAAAAAAGGTTGTAAGTTCACAGGGTTTACGTTTGTGTTTTAATCAAACCCCAGCGACGTTTAATCTTAATCACAATTTTTTACTTTAATAAATACTATAATGAGTAGAATATGCATAATTTGAAAAATTAAGAATAATATACTTCATTTTAAATTATACTTATAATTTGATAATTATTACAAAAATATTAACTTTTTAGAAAATTACTTTGTTATGTCACTTTAAAATATATTATAAAATATACCATTTTTTATGAAATTTTTTTATCACTTTTTCCGTAGTCAACGTCAATGTATTAACAACAGCTGTGGTGATAACTTTGTAACTGAAAAAAAAAAAAAAAAAAGAGTCGTGTAGCTGCTTACGAATAGTTATTTTGGAAAAATATTTTTTGATGAAAAATAGTGCCACCAATTAAGAATTAATCGTTTTAATTGTACGGTTGATGTTTAGTTAGGTTAAATATTAATTAAGCAAAAGTGCTTTTTGAAAAAGGAAGGAAAACCTTCCAAAATTCCTCATTTCACAGTTGTTCTCCATCTAAAACCATTATTAAAGCTAGTGTCGTGCATCAAATATCCTTCTGGTCTTGATGGATAACAACCCCCACCGCTACCCCCAACCTTTATTTTTTCCTAAATTGTGTTTTTGAATATGAATAAGCCACTAGTGCCTAATATTGTTTTGCATCTGAGGGTGAATTTAGCTTATTAATATTTTCTCCTATATACGCCTCCATTTTTATGTTCATATATGCTTATTTTGTCTTTTATTTATTACAGCTTAGGTATAAGTATGAAAAAGAAACTTCTATAATTAAAGGCCAAAAAAACTAGATATGAAGACCAATTGATTTTGATCTTATGTTACGTATTATTTTATTATTGTCAAATGACAAATAGTTATAAGTCTATTCTTTGCATGATAGGGGGACCAAAAGACAAAATGAGATATTTTTTAAGCCTGAAGGGCCCAACAGTGCTTCCAAGCAATGCCCTTAAAAGGTAGGAGTATATGTAAAGGAAAGTGGAACCTCATGATATTGAATAAAATTGCATTATAAGGCAGATGACCAAATACAAAAAACACTAAATTATTAAACACAATTTGTTTTAAAAAAAGGGAGAACATGAATTTAATGATGTACACATATTTTTTCAATTTTATTTTTGTATATGAAGTCAGCTCATTGATTAGGTATCAAGTGTTGAAGATGTAGCATGAAGACAGGTTGGGTCCATTATCATTTGAACTTTCAAAATCTGAGATGGTTTTTGTTTTAGCTTTTGACAAAGTTCCATCCACATATCCATGTTGGAGGAATTCCTTTCACCTGGCATAAGAGTCCTCCATGTGCATGCTTTGATAATTAAGGGCCCCAACATGCTTTTCTTTATTCAAATATACTCTCTTGCACAAGAAAGAGAAGTTCCCCTACGAACTTTACTTTCCCTGTCCTTTGGTAGGTTTTTGCATTGAATTGGTTGCCTCTACAATCCTATCAATGACTTCTTTATCATCTTTTCTTTGCTTTATTGCTATCCAAGAATTTTCCAATCTTCCCTCACGGAAATAAAGAGCATATATATAGAGAGAGGAGATTGAAATCTCCTTTGAAAGTTCCATGGCTGATAAGAGATAAGATCCTAAAGTTGGCCCTACTAATATGATTCTTACACACTATGTAAATTTTGTTTTATAATCTACAAAATTTCTTCCTAATGCGACATTATCATGTTTCTCAAACACTAAGGTTTGTGCAATTGAAGCGACATAATGTGTTGGGGGCGGTTCTTATAATTATTATAGCGAAACTAATATTGCTTTGTTCTTGTTTTTTGCTAAATAATTTAACTTTGCTTTTATCCTTAGAAGTTAGTTTATCTGTCCGCTTCGTAATCAAAATTGATTCAAGGGCAAGGAATTCAAAGTTTGGTTGGACACATAATGATATAATATTGGTTTGATTAAGGAAAGAAAGAGCACCATCATTTGGTGAGCTTAAAAGTAGCTTACAGCAATGATTTGCTGGTTTTCAAGTCAAATTATCTCTCTTACTTTAAAAAATCACGTTGCTACAAATTGCTTTTGAAATGCCAAAATCACACAAACAAGCTACAGAGAATCATTTAGTTTATAATGATAAAGTGTGGCTTCACCCTTAAGTATATGTTTTTGGAACTAAAACTTCATTGAACACACTGCTAGTAATGTCCTCAACAGTATAGGT